CCTGGACCTCTTCTACTGCCTCAATGCCCCTTCCATGTTGGCATTGAAGGCACTCTGTGGCCCTCCAGGTACCATGGATGTGGACATATGGCTGGCCAGCTGCTCATGCTCTAGGGAAGCCCAAGCGACTTAATCGACTCTGTGTGCCATCCCATTCATTAGTGGTGCCCCGTAAGGCTAGCATCTGGCAAAGACCTGCTTTCCCTAGCTTTGGACAGACTGAGAGCATGGTGTATCTCCTGTTGGAGGATAGATTTTATTCTAGATGGTTCCTACCAAGGGCTGAGTGAAAGCAGGTCATTTGGGGCTGGGGCCATTCTGAAGACCACTTAAAGGAAAAGCAAGAATATTAACTTAGGAAAGACGTCAATATTAATATTTTCTTCAAAGGAGGGCATTTATGAACTTTGTATAAAAGCCTCACCTGACCCCTTCTCTCTCCCTCAAGCCATTGAGCTTGACTTTTTCAATGATGGAACTATCATTAGATTTGAAACTGAAAGAAAGGCATCTATTCACACCTGCCCATCTTTGTCAGACCTCTTCAAAACAGCATGGAAAAATTTTATCTCTGCAATCCTGACCCACTGGATCATTTTACTCCTATTGCTACATAGTGATTAGTAGAGTACACCTCGGAGTGAGAATTTCTGTGGGAAAGGGACTTTCCTTTGCTTTTATTAGGGGATAACACCTAAGGTAAGTGTTCTTTAATAATAATAAATGAGTAGGGGTAAGAGGATAAGACAGATCTGAGACCCTCACTGTTGCAAGATTTCTGTCAAAACCCCAAATGAAAGTGTAGGTGTTAACCATTGTATAGATTCCTCTCCACGAAAAAGGATAACCTGATTTTCATTTAATGCTTTTAAAAGCATTGTGACAACTTTCTGCCTAAATCCCAACAGTCAAAAGTCCATAACAACCCACCATTGCAGGGATTCAAATGGTTAGATTAGTTTTGCAGAGACGAGTATTCTTTAGTCTCATTGTTGGTTGAATGACCAACTTTGGGATTTTGGCATGAATGGGAATGGTGGCATAATGTGTACAAAATCCTGACAGTTGATCCCGCTTGGAGAATAGTTTTATGCTATGTCTAAGGAGACAGAAAGGATATTTCTTAAAATTAAACCCAGGACATGGTGAGGCTCTCCTTTTCAGCTACCCTGGAAAGTAGAAACAAGCTACAGAGACACATGCCTTCTTTGGGCTGTCAGCTCTGGGCCTCCCAGCAGCATTTGCCTGCATTTTTCTAGCGTCTTCCAAAGGAACTGAGCCTCCCCTATCCCCTGATAACAAGCATGTGAGTTCAGCATAAACAAGACACTAATGTCATACTAATGTCACATTGTATGTCCACTGTACTTCACTAATGAAAATTGAAAAAAGAAAAGAAAAAAGTAACCAAGGTGAAAATAGTGGGAAGTTGGTCTCATTTCAGGGTCCATTTGTGCTGTCCCCTAGGGCAGTGGTTCACAGAGCACTTCCCCCAGGCTGCTGGGGGTGAAGAGGTCGAGAACTGTCCCCAGAGACAAGAGCCACCGTGTGCCTGTTTAAAAGACATGAACAACATCTGTCTAGTCACATGTTATACTCAACAAAGACTTACCTTTTCACATTATGTTTGAAGACCAGTATCTCTATCTAAATTTATAGAATCCAGTAATCTGCCCCCTTAACTTTAAGATGGTGCTGAGCCCCCGTGTTAGGAAGGGATTTCTTGGAGTGGGTTTCTGGCTGGTGGGTGGTGGTGATACAGGGCACTTGGGGCATCTCCTCTGTAGCTCTGCACCCACTGGTGGCCCGTCACATCCTGACGTGATTACTGGGCCCTTGTTCACCTTCCATTCCAAGGAGGCGCAGAAATATGTTCCCAGCCTATGTCTGGGCTCCAGCAGCTTTTACTTCTGCTCCAGACAACAGTGAACTTTTGAGAAAGGAGGGTAAATCATGGACCAGTCCCTTCACAGAGCCCAACATAGGATGTGTCTTGTCTTTTAGAAGAAGAGACCTTCCTGGTCCCTTGGCACAAGCCTCCTGGGTCCTTGGTTACTTTACTCTGTGAAGCCAAGGAAAGAAGTTGCTATTTAATTGCACTGGCTTTGCCTTGCCCCTGGCTTTTATTGTTTGTGGGAGGGAATGCACTTATTAACCAGACTACATCTAGGAGGGGTGGGAGCAGGTAGGCACTCTCTAAATGTCAGCTGCATTTACCAATCTGGTTGAAAACAGTGCACATCACGAGAAGCTTTCACACTCCGTTTCCCTAAAAGATTCCTATCTACTTAAAATAATCCCCTCCCTGCCAAAAATGATGTCAGAGGAGTGACTTTACAGGGATTCTGCACCTCCCCTGGCACGGCCTTCTCTGCTAAGGGTTGTGTTGAAATGTTGCATCTTTAACTCGTTATCCAAGCAGTTGTTTTCTAAAAGCTTTGTTGTGATTTGCAATCGGACTTGAATAATACCAGTTAAATCCTGTAAGGAAGAAAAGAAAAGGAGGTTCCAGGAGGCTCTCACCAATGCTGGGACCTTCCCTAGGTCACTCCAAACCTCATGTGTTTTTTTTTTTTTTTAATTCAATTTACCCGCATATAGTATAACATCCAGTGCTCATCCCATCAAGTGCCCTCCTTAGTGCCCATCACCCAGTCACCCCATCCACCCTCCCACCTCTCCTTCTGTACTTCCGAACCTCATCGTGACTGGGAAACCTGCTTTCCTCAAGTGTTGCCCGCTGCTCTCTCTGGGGTGCCTCAGAAGCAGGCTAGTGTGTGGCCTGAGGTAGACTGGGGAGCCACTGGCCTTGTTAGCAATGCCTGCCTTTTCCTGCTCCTATCACACCCTCGTGTCTGGGGTCTTCCTGCTCCATGATGGCTCCACAAATAATGTCGTCTGTCCTCATTTCCTCCCCACTTCCTCCCCACCTTACAGCACAATGATACCATTTCCTTCCCACCTGGAATGCCAGAGCTCTAGATGAGCACTTGGGCCCCGTGCCTTCCAAGCTCTGTGACCTGGTCTGACCCTTGGCTTTCAGAGTTATTTGTCCTCATCTTTATAATGAGGAGATCAGGACACATGATTGTTTCCTAGCTGAAAACTTTTGAGTCTTCAGAAGCTTTCTTTTGGTCTGCTCTCGGCCGGTCAGATGAAGTACAGAGAGGCCTGCTCCCACTCCGTGTGACCACACAGAATGTCCTGGCCAGGCCCTGGGAGGGGCACAAGACCACACTGTGCCCAGTGGCTGGGGCCACGGTGTGTGAGCTGGCAGTCTGGTGTTCTCGGTGGTTAAGTATGGACTTTGTGAGATATGCCATTCTTCCATTTATATTATGTTTTCTAGTGACTGACCTCATTGTAGGTCAATAAACTTCAATTGATGATAAAGATGAAAAGGCAATGATATTTTTTTGTACCTCAATGGCTAAAAATCATGATAGCTTCTCTCTGCACACAGGCTGTTTTTTAAAAAAATAAACTCCTTGGGTTAGCACAGTTTTTAGATTTATAGAAAAATTGTACAGAGCTCCCATACACTCCACAGCAGCTTCTTCTGTTGCCAGCACCTGCTAGTTCATGTGGACGGTCACCACGAGTGACCTGGCCCTGATACTGCCCATGCTTTATTTGGATTGCCATAGTTTTCCCTGGGTACCTTTTCCATTCCAGGACCCCATTGCGGATCCCACATGACATGTAGTTTTGTCTCCTCAGGCTCCTCTTGCTTGTGACAATTTCTTGGACTTTCCTTGCTCCTTGCTCCTAAGGTCCTGACGGTTTTGAGGAGCACTGGTCAGGTGTTTTGTAGAATGTTCCCCATCTGAGATCTGTCTGATTTTTTCCTCATGATCAGACAGGGGTTATGGGTTTGGGGAGGAAGATCACAGAAGTCAGGTGCCCTCCTTGTCACATCACATATTCAAAGATTTGTAATTGTTGACTGTGTCCCCTGGTCCAGGTAGTGTTGGTTAGGTTTCTCCACCCTTTTCTGCCCTTTCTAGACTGGCCTCTGTGGAAGTCATGTGGGCAGCCCATGTAAGGCTGGAGAGCCATGTGCCACATCTTTGAGGGTAGGCACTGGTGTCCTGGCCAAGGGCTCACCAGCCCTCCTCACCCCCTTAGGATAAACTAACTGCCCAGGCAGGATTAGCCCATGTGTTAGAGGAGAGAGATTGGAACTCTGGACTGGGATGTGGTCCGTGATGTGTGCTCATCCTGGGGCCCATACTGGTCTTGTTCTGGGGGGGTGAAGCAGGTTGGCCGACGTAAGCCATTGGTGAATGTGTGCCCTCTCATGATTCACACTCAGAAGTGAATCCTGGAGCACATTCTGCTAACATCTTCATCCAGAAGAGAAGGACTTCCTGGAGTAGTTAAGAGTTATTTAAAAAAACAAAACAAAACAAAAAACCCTAACTTACAATAATTCAACATTTTTTCTACTCTGGACCTAACTCTGTGTTAACTTAAAAGTGGAAGCAGCTTGATTCTTTTCCTCAGAGAATCCTGGAAAGGTCTAAAAAAATGTCATTGCTATTCAAGGCCTCTGGGTTTTAATAATAAAAATATGGTTTGGTTTGCCTTCCATAGCATTTTACTTGGAATAACATCTGATTTTTCCTGAGAATTGCATGATTATTGAGGGCAAAAGCAATGTCATTAATTTGTGTTTCTCATATTATGTAACTTTTGCCCATAGAAGGGCACTTAGAGCTGAAAATTAAGAGCTGAAATAAATGTAGAGGCTTGGAGAACTTAAAGTCAAGGCTGCTGGGTGTATGGGCCTCCCAGGCTTCTCGGTCCATACTGGTTAGGCCTAAGACGGGTACAAGTCATAGGAGGATATTCTGACAACCATTTGTGAAATTCTGAGATTTAAAATGTTTTAGCCATCAGTGATGGCAAAGGACATCGTGACTTTCTGTGTTGGGATAAGAGAAAGTTATTGGGTAGAATGAAAGGCAATAATAAACACTTTCATTCTTTTTTTCTAGCAGATTTGAACAGCACGATGGGGTGCAAAGTTCTGCTCAACATTGGCCATCAGATACTGCGGCGGAAGGTTGTGGATTGCAGCCGGGAGGAGAGCCGGCTATCTCGCTGCTTGAACACTTTTGACCTGGTGGCGCTGGGGGTGGGCAGCACGCTGGGTGCCGGCGTGTATGTCCTGGCTGGAGCTGTGGCCCGTGAGGATGCGGGCCCTGCCATTGTCATCTCCTTCCTGATCGCAGCGCTGGCCTCGGTGCTGGCTGGCCTCTGCTACGGCGAGTTTGGTGCTCGGGTCCCCAAGACAGGCTCGGCCTACCTCTACAGCTATGTCACTGTTGGGGAGCTCTGGGCCTTCATCACTGGTTGGAACTTAATCCTCTCCTATATCATTGGTATGTCCCAGGAGGCCTGGAGCCCGCTTCCTTCCCTCTCTGCTGTTCTCACCTCCAAACCACGGGTGACACTATCCTTTGCTCCCCATGGGGACTAGCCTCCTCCCTAGATTGTTGTACATGTTCCCTTTCCCTGTAATGAAGGGTGGGGTGGGGGGCTTATGGATATCGCTGCTCCTTCTGGTTTGTGCCCCGTTTTTTAATGATTAGGTGCATTGGACTGTTAGTGGGAATGAGCCAGGCCTTGAACAAGGAGGTCAGTCCTGTTAACACAGGAGATGTAGATTCAATGGGATGTTCTTATTACTTAAAAGGAGTGTGGTCCCTTTTAGTATTTTCGATTACAGATCACTAGAGTAGACATACCACCGATACAGAAAACTTTGGGAAATACAGAAAAGCGCAGCACAGAAAGTAGACATTGCCCAGTCTGGCAACCCAGAGAAATCGTTATTTATTCATTCATTCATTCTTTCAGCAAATATTTATTGAGCCCCTCTTCCGTGCCAGACATTATGCTAGATAGTAGGAACGCAGTAGAAGAGTAAGACCGTCTCTGTGCATAAGAGTTTAGGGATCGTGTAACTATTGTTAATATTTTTGTCAAATATATATTTTTTTGTCCAGGATGTCTTTTTATTTATGAAACAAAATATAGTAAACATTTCTCATAGTATTTATGGTGTTTCCATAGTAATATTCCAAATGATTGCATATTATTACCTAGGTTTATATACATAACATACTTTTTTAGATGTTCTTGTGGGTATTTAGACTGTTTCCAGTTGTGTTGTTATTGTTACAAATGGTTAATCGTTTAATGTCTTTGGGCACTGCCATGGTTTTTTCCCTTTAAAATGGTCTGAGAAGCAGAATGTCTCGGTCAGTGGGCTTACGTATTTTTAAGGCTTGTGTTGCCTGCGATCCTTCGGGTGGCCACAGGTTCCCTTCCACACATACTTGCTGACCCTGGGCACCCGTGTTAAAAACAATCAGCCAACAAACAAAAACACTCAAAATACAAAGTTTTCTTAGTTTGGTAGGTGGGAAAGCATTGTCTCTCCTATGTTATTTGTATTTTGATTACAACCAAAGTAGAATGCATCAACTTAAAAGAGACAGGCACCTGAATATAAGAATATCCAAAGACTATGAATGGCCAATTCCTAAAAGTAGAACTATAAGTGGCCACTAAACATTCTGTTTATATTTCAGAAAGCTTTTTGTAATAACATCAAAACACAGAGATGTGGCTCGCTCCTGTGTACCCCACACTGGGAATGTCATAGGGGGCTGTGAGCTGCCCGCTGGGACGTGGGCCCCGGGCGCCATGTGGAGCACCTGCTGCCACTTGCCCACGCCAGCTGGTTGAGGGCTCCTGCCAGGCTCTCTGAGCAGCACCTGTCTTTCTTCTCAGGTGCCCGTGGTACCTAATGACAACCAGCATAGCTTATGCTTCTAAGTTTGAAAATCAAACTCATAATAACGTTTCTTTGTTTCAGTATGACACTAAAACTTAGAGCCACAAATGCTCCTATAAGCTCAAGTCACTCAGTGGGAACTTAGCTGTTTTAAATGGGCTGTTACGTTCCCAGAGGACTTACCTGGGCATAAAACAAAACCTGAGCTGGAATTGCCCGCTGCTTCCAGACCAACAAATGAAAGAAAGGTTCTTTGCCAGAATGTTCTTTGCTTGTGAGACTGACTTGTGCATGTGTTACCATGGGTGATTCTTAGCCTTAGCTTTTGGGGAAGGGCAGTTTTTCTCAGCAAACATGGGGTTCCTTTAAAGCTGTTTTTCAGAGATGGGGAGGGAAGGAGACCAGAAAGGAAGGCGAGGCAGCCTGTCTCACCCCACACCGTGGTTTTCAGAGCGTGAGCAGCCGTGAGCTGGTTTCTTTTGGGGCCTTGATGGACAGAATCCATAATAGGCTAGATAGATTCTGAGGATGAAGAAGCATGGTTATATTTTTGAGTTTTTGGACAAATACTCAGCACAAGACCAACTAGCAACATTTAATCTCTGTAATTCCCTCTGGCCAAATTTTGTGGGTGATCCAGACCACAGTCACCAACAAGGCCCCCTTTGAAAATAAAGGAGAATGCTGTATGTGAATATTGGGATTTTAGTGACATTTCATTGAAAAGCAGTGGCTTTATTCAGGTTAAAAGAAAGTGTGTGTAGTTAACAGTTACTGGCATTTGAGGTGCTGCATTTGTTTGTGATCCTTATGCCGGGGGATGCAGGGTACGGAGAGGAGGAGAGCTGGGCTGTGTCCGTGGTCAGATACCCGGGCACCTGTGGCCTCTGAGTCAGGTGATGTGAGCCCTGATAGGTGGCTGACACCAGCTCTGGGTCAGGTGCTCTGAGCAGGTGACTTTTTTGCTGAGGTGAGGGTTACACGTGTGAATCTTCTTGGTCTCATCTTACTTGAAGAACAGTGTTCCTCTGGTGGGTGGGGACCATCAGCTCCGTTGTCGGTCAGAGGGATCTTGGAAAAGAAGCTTCCTGAGCCAGGTGTTTCAATCTGCCGACTGCAGCTGTGAGCAGATTACAATATCAACTTCGTGGTTTGCCGCCAACATTTCTTTTAATAATGAAATAAAATAGGTGGAGTTGAATAAATACCATCAGAGTACTTCTCAGGTGACAAGGGTAATGGCACTGTTTTGTAAACTGTTTACTATTCAGTTGTATATTTGGAACACAGTACACGTGTCCTTATTGGGTCATGATGGAAAGTGTGTTTCTGTCTGGGTCCATGAGACCTCTGCATCCTTGTCACCTCCCTGAAGGGCCTAATGGAGCATCACTTCTGAGCTAGCACACACCAGGGTCCACCGTGCCCCAGTGCATCATCCATGACCCTCACACACTCACTACCAAATACTGTTCATGGTTTCCCTTCAGTTTCCTCTTGTGCGTCTGTCTCGTGGCAGGTACTTCAAGTGTAGCAAGAGCCTGGAGTGCGACATTTGATGAGCTGATTGGCAAACCCATTGGGGAGTTCTCGCGGACACACATGGCTCTGAATGCCCCTGGAGTGCTGGCCGAAAACCCAGACATATTTGCCGTGATCATCATTCTCATCTTAACAGGTAAAGCTACACAGTGGGACATATCCAGTTGGAGTGAGAGGCCTGAGGTGTGTGGGACAGGTTTCCATGAGGCCTGTTTCTTCCTTTCCTTGTTCTGCTTTCCCCTCCTTTTCTTTCTTTCTGTAACGAATGCAGACATCTTGGTTGTCTTAACGGCTTCTCATACACACAGCGTTGGCGCATTGGTTAGTTGTCAAAGCCGTGTGCCAGTTATTTAAGAAAGAGTCTCAGGTGCTTGTGTAGCTTTTTGTGGAGTGGGAATTTGCTAATACTGCAGGCTTTTTGTACAAGTGACCCAGGAATATGAATTCCCTTGACTCAGTGGAAGACTGTCTGGAAAAGAAAGTGGCATTCCTCAGCGGGTAAGAGGTGGGGGATGAAGTCAGTCCGTGGCACCAGTTTGTGCCTGGGGGTTGGAGAAGTCTTGAATGATTTTACATCTAATAGCCATCAAAATGCTTCTTTAAAAAGAAGTAAGTTTCATGACAGTAAGTAAGGGCACAGACTTTTAAAATTCCAGATACTGCTTAAACACGGCTGAAGGCAGCTATTTCCGAGTGATGTTTATCTGGGTCTCAGCCTCAAGGTTGTGTGTTTTGTTTCATGTGGCACTTACTGTATAAGCATTAAGCTGAACACAGATAAATTCCCCTTTGAGATTAGAAGATCTTGGATGGGTTTTAAAAACAACATGCCTTATTTTCCGCACCGTAATTGAAATCATCTAGCACAGGCCAGTCTCAGCAGTATTTCTGGTCCAGTTGGCAGGAACGTGTATCAGAAATGAAGTTTGCAGCAGTGAGATTTTCATAAACATGAGAGGGAGGGATGCCAGAGAGAAACCCGAGCACAGCATGATGAGGTGATCCCTGTGATAAATTGCTCAATTCCCTTCTTGTGCCTTCATTTCAGAATTGACTCTATTGTGAAATGCATTTTTTTTTTTTTTATTTTGAGTGTATGAAAGGTGTACCTGGCAGGGCAGCAGTCTTAAGTCATAAGTGGTAGTCTACCTGTCACCTGGAGTCCTAGCCTCTTTTCCTCCCCAGCCTGGGGTTTGGCCACAGATGTCCCCAAATGGCATATTTATCCCATTGTGGTCATGTGGCTAAGCCTCAGTGACAGTGTTGTCATGTGGCTTCCGTGTGTTTTTATCACTTGGGTCTTTTTGATTTTTTTCATGTGAGTTTATGATCTATAACTAGTCTAACTTAGACATTGTTTTAAGTGCGCCAAGTCTGAGATGAACCACACGGTTCGTGGTTCTTCCATAATCACAGGAAGTTGTTGTTGCTAATACCATAAACATTGCAGAGTGAATCTGAATAATTTTCTCATCTGAAAAACCCTCATTCTGTCAAGAAACTGAGTAAAATGTCTCCTTTTTGGAGAAAAAAATTCCTGCCTCCTCAGAGGAGTCCAGGAAAGTATGTTAATGAGGAGGAGAGAGTGCTAAGAGGGGCCTCCTCTCTGTCCTTGGGAGGGGCTTGCCCTTCGGGAGGTTGGCAGTGGTATCCCCCATCTCTGCTGTCCTTTGGTGCCCCCTGGGTGGCACCCTGAACTCCAGAGGGACCTGCAAGGCCAACGTTGGTAGCTTTGTGAACTACCGCCTGAACTTCAGTTATTTTGATCCGGGCTAGAAAGAGTATTAATTCAGTCCTATTCCCAGAGGCTCACAGAAATCTTAGGAGGTTTGGTGCCACTTGGATTCTTCCTAAGTCACCCTCTCCTGGGATCCCTGTCCCTGTCCCAGGAAGGACTTACCTGGCACAAAGTTAACACTCTCAGGCAAAATTTTCCTGTTTGTGTGCTTTTTCAGGACTTTTAACTCTCGGTGTGAAAGAGTCGGCCATGGTCAACAAAATATTTACTTGTGTCAATGTTCTGGTCTTGGGCTTCATTATGGTGTCAGGATTTGTGAAAGGATCAATTAAAAACTGGCAACTCACAGAGGAGGATTTCCAGAACTCATCCAGTAATCTCTGCTTGAACAAGTGAGTTGTTTTTTCTTCCTCTCGGCATATAACAGCTGATGTGTATTTGGTACTTAATAACATACACCTGTATTGGGGGCCTGTAATTGGCCAGAATAGTACGTGCCTTTTTAAAAAATAAAATTTGAATTTGAATTCTTTTGTAGTATAATAGGTGAGGGTGGTGAGGGTGTTTTTTTGGTTTGAAATTTGTGTTAAGTTTAATTTCCCTGAACTCGACAGAACATTGTATGATAAAGGAAGATATTCAGGAAAAAAGAATCTTCATTCTAATTCCAAAACTGTATGTAGTTGAAGATCATTGTCAGACTCACTAATCTGTTTTTCCTCATAATTGTTTCATGACCCACCTCTGAATTTTATATTCAGAAAAGATTTTCTCTGCAAAACTATGGTGATATCACTTGATTTTGAAATGCCTTCCTATTAGTAACATAGAGGGAAGAAGAAATACATGGAACTTTTATCACAGGTTTTTATTAAAGGTTTTCACAATTAGTGAAATATCAGAATGTGATTATAATAGTTTCTTTCTCCTACCTTCGACTTGGGGTACATCAGCCCTGAAAACCAGCAGCCCAATTTCCCTTATGTTCTCTGACTCAAGACTCTTGGGATTGGAGGCACGTGACAGGCCAGCCCTTGGACCTGTGCTGTTTTAGGACCTCCAGTGAAGCCTCATCAACAAGCTGAGATTATCTAGGAAACAAGAGCCAAACAATTAAAATGTATCTTTTTGATCTTTTGTAATTTTTCAGGGGAATCTTAGGGTCTTAGGATGGAGAAGGGGGAGTGAGATTTTTGTCTATGGTTCTATTTTGATTATGACCAAAGGTTAAACAGCTCTGATAAGGAGACCCTCCTGAAATGCAGTGATTTTAAAATGATGTCTTGACATGAGCAGACCAGGTTGACTGGCCAGCATGGCTGCACACAGGCTTTCAGGGACCCTGACCGTCCACCTGGTTGCTCCATCCTGCCCTAAGATGGTGTCCTCTTCTGCATGATCAGAGCTGGGCTGTGGGTGTGGGCAAGATCCAGCCCTCCCGGAGAGGAAAAGAGGGTATGGAAAAGAGTGTGCCCAGTCCTTTCAAGGGCAGATCCAGAAGATGCCTTTCCCTTCTGCCAACATCCCACTGGTGAGAATCCAGTAGGTGGCCATATCTAGCCGCAAGGGAGACTGAGAAACAAGGTCCCACACTGGGGATCCCACTGGTCGCACGTGAACTTGGTCATTGGGCAGGCATTGATGTGTGACTAGTTCACTACTAGAACATAAGCAGGAAACTGTTGAATGCATGAAATATTATGTGGTTAACAGTTCAAATAAAAAGAACCTACCTTTTGGAGACTAAACTATTACAGGGAAATGAGGGCTTTTAATTTTTTTTTTTTTTAAGTAAACTCTATGCCCAATAGAGTGGGGCCAAGATCAAGAGTTGCATGCTCTATTGACTGAGCCAGCCAGAGCTGAGAAAAGATTTTTTTTTTTTGAGAAAAGATTTTTAATGTAACATTCCTAAGCATTCCTGGGTCATATTTATCCCAAATTTATTGATGCTCATTATCTCAGGGAAGAGGAAAGCCAGTTCAAAATAAGCTTGGAAATAACATTAGATTTTGAAAACCTGGGGCGACTTTCTTGCTGATGGCTGTTTATAGATCAGGAATTAAATATAAATGGCATGTCTTGTTTCTTAGTTGTCGATCAAGATTGAATTTTATTGTTTTTATGAAGATATTGTTTATGTTAGCCAATGGTATTTACTGTCATTGGTTGTCCTCATACTTTGTGTCCTGGTGAGATGAACTGTACTGCCCTCAGCCCCAGGAGCACTGCCTCCGAGGTAGAATGCTGCAAGTCTGGAGCATAGCTTGCTCTTTCATTTTATTAAAACCTATAAACTGCTTTCTCTCATTTTTTTTTAACCCCTCAGCCATAGATTTGTGTTTCCAACCATGGCCATGTAGTCTTGCATGAAATTGCTTGTCTCTCTGAAATAATAGAGTATTTCCCAACCAAACCACACAGCATGGAGGAGCTTCAGCCTGCATGGCTTTGGTGGCAGTTCTGAGCACTTTGGATTGTGATTTTATGATACTCTCTCCAAGACTGGCTGTAAACACCTCTGTGAACCTGTGACTGAGTCGGTGTCTTGGTCTAGAATAGAAATGTTATCTGACAGTTTGGCTGGTTCCCTCTGGCCTTCAACTTATGCTACCTCTGGCTTTCTTATCCAGAGTCCTGTGGATTTGTAATAGATGTAGTGAGTGTAGAGCTACAGCACTACATGGAAACCTGCTGAGAAGGTTGTGTCAGGTAGTTTCTTGTCAGGTAGGGTGGAAACCCAAAAATAACACTGGCTTCCACAAGTTAAAAGTTTAGTCCTCTTAAGTCAGCATCTCTAGGTGGTTGGTCCAGCATATTGCTTTGGTGGAAGAGGAATCCAGTTCTTCCATCTAATGGCTTTGTCCATGGCCCACATTCCCAAGGTTACCCCAAGGTCCAAGATGGCTCCCACCAGCAGGAAGGAAATGAGAAAAGTAGAAGAGTACCTTCCCACTCCACTAAATTCCCCTGATGTTTCTCAGGAGATGTATACACCATGTCTGCCTAAGTCAGGTGACTATCCCTCATAGCTAGAGAGTCTGAGAAACATATCATCTTTATTCCTAGTGTTCCTATGTCTAGCTAAAATAATTATATTTTCTTCCTGTGTAGAAGAAGGGGGTATGGCTTTTGGGGACAACCTGCAGTTTATGTCAGGGTGGCAGATGGAAGTTAGCAAGAGCAGAGTCTTGGTGAAGGATGCTCTCCACTGATGCAGTTGGAGGAGACCATACGGAGGGGAGAGGACCCCCCTCACCACCATGGAAGTTTCTGTCAAGTCCTCAGCCCAGGCTCGGGGATGTTTATGAACACGTGACAGATTTTCCTTCTTCCTCTGCCAGTTATCCTCTCTGCTAGCTCCTGGGTAACTGGCTGAGGGGCATGCAGAAGAGCTGGTCAACCCTAGCTCTGGTGAAGGGGCACTGAGCTAGGATCTGCTTCAGCCCTCCCTGTCACCAGGCGACATTAGCCAGGTGGTGGCTATGGCAGTCCCTTGAACCTCCTTCCTCATTTCTTTGTGTGTCAGCTGCTAGATGCCAAGTGGGCACCACGTGCAATAGCAAATCAATCACTGATTTATATACAGAGCCTTTACAAAATCTTTTTTTTCTTTTCCTTTTTTTTTTTTTTTTTTAAACAAAATCTGACTGTTTTGGTTTGAGGCCACATAGAACAGGTTTGATAGCGAGGCCCTGCCACTAAGAGTGGAATGCCTAAACTCTTCTTCAATGTTGAATTTAATTTTTTGAGTAGATAATGTTTTCTCATGGTTCCCATGTCATAATGTCATAAGAAGGTATACACTGAGAATTTGTTCCCATTCCTTTCTTCATCTACCTCATTCTCTGCCCACCCCCCCGACCATGGGTAATCATTTTTACTATTTTGTGTGTGTAAGCTTCCAGGTTTTATTTGTCTAAATACAAGCAGTTACAAGGATGTAGTTCTGTTTGTTTTGTGTATTATGTATATAACTTATATACATAACTTAAGTGTATAGTTTCTCTCTTAGTACATAAAAAAAGGTAACATTCTCTCTCCACTTTTCTGCACCTTGCATGTTTCCCCTACTACCATATTCTGTTAAGGCTTTTCATGCCGGGACCTTGTCCTTTGTTGTGACGTGTGGTGTCTGGGCATCCACATTACGATGGTGACCCAGCTGGAGGAGTACATACAGTTAGAATCACAGTCTGCTGACTCCCCTTCCATCTGATTCCTTCCCCTGAGGAGCAAGGGAGAATGGCTTTGTTTTGCTCTGCTAACTCTCCGTAGCTCCATGCTTTTCTTGATGCTCCTGCTTCACCTGGCAATGTGATGGACGCATGTTCCAGCCCCTCATCCTCTTCTACAAGGCCTGTCTCTTCCTGGGGTTTGTTTGTTTGTTTGTTTATTTTAAGATTTTATTTATTTATTCATAGAGACACACACACACAGAGAAGCAGAGACACAGGCAGAGGGAGAAGCAGGCGCCATGCAGAGAGCCGACTTGGGACTCAATCCAGGGTCTCCAGGATCACGCCCTGGGCTACAGGCGGCGCTAAACTGCTGCGCCACCGGGGCTGCCCATCTTCCTGGGGTTTAATGCACATAATGTTGTACACTTTCCTCTGCCCTTCAAATGGAATTCTCAAAAACTTTCTGGGTGCCTCTGCCTCATGGTTGTTTAAAGCAAGCCTGTCAGTCCTGATGCTTGTTTATTTTTCCACACAGCTGTTCCATAGCCCTTGAGGTAAGAGGGCTTGTGGAGGCAGGTGGGTATCTAGAGGCCTTCCACACCTGTCTGTCTGTCCTGCCAGTGACAGGGAGCCGGGCCCCTCATGTTCTAGTTGTGTTCAGAAGTTGAAAGGGTCTGCCAGGAGCCCCTCAGAAGGCATCTCACTAGAGTCTCCTGCTTTCATCTTCTCATCCCGCTATCTTGAGCTATTCGGCTGTCAACTATTTTGTTTCAGACTTTGGCCTAAAACTTTTCATAATAAGAATCGGCTCACCAGGACAGTCTGTGTTCTTGGTGATTTATGGATGCGGTGGGCGCGTCCTGTGTCTTGCTGACTCACTTGTCCTGGGCTGCCATTTTTGTCTTTGGGTGGTGAGTTTATTTTAGTCATACCTTAAATCAACAAACTTCCCTTTGAGTCTGGCAATAATTTTTCCTACATCTATCACTTGCCTGTTTCTTGGGGCTTCCCCCATGTTGCTACTTACTGAACCACAGTGAGTCCCAGATTGAGAACCTCCTTCACGCTCTGATTTCCAGATTCTGGAACCAAGGATCCTCTAGAAATCAGTGCAAGGCTCAATCCCCATTACAAAATAATTAGGTCCAAAGTGGCCATCTATTGATAAATCCCTCTGAAAGCAAATTTGGCCAATGAGTTGCTAACCCAATTAACATCTCTTTATAGGACTAGAATACCCTATTTGGCTCTTCTTATGTTAGGAAGTCAAGTGGTCTGGGGCAGGTTGCCCTGCAGAGCTGGGCAGTTGTCAGCCTGCTGAGTTAGGAAGGGTGATGGGGAGGTGGTGACTGTCCTCTGGAAACTGTGACAGGAAGCCTGCAGCCTGGCAGCCAGCAAAAGTCATGGCTGGTGAGGGAGGAACCAAACTGTCCTTCTTGGACTGGTAGCTCAGCTGTTTTTTATGTGGTAGTAGGGGACCGGGGTGTCTGTGGTGTAGAATCACTTGTGACAGTGGCCATCTAGGGTGTGAGTGGTAGCTGGCCCCCAGGCTCTGTGCAGCTATTCTAGGCCTGGACACACTGTTCAGAGTCACAGGTTCCACTTCGTTGGACCTATTTTCTGAACCTTAAAGGATTTCTGGGGTTGACAACATGTGTTTGGCTGTGTATCCATTACTTCAGCAAATATGTACTGAGCCCCACCCATACGCCCAAGCCATGCTGGGCATTGGTCCCTACCCATGTAGGCATCCCTATTTATCATGTGCCTGTGAGTGCTGAGGAAATGCTTTTGTTGACTAGAGCAGTTTGCTTTCTTCAACCTCAGTATCTCTGGAAATGCTTATTTTGGGACTTGAGTTACTGGTAAATATAGGAGATTTTTGCATTATGTTCCTGGGGTGGGGGCCATGCACCCAGTTGGCAGCTCTCAGTTCTAAAGTGTATGTTCTGGAGTGCCTGGGTGGTTTAGTCAGTTAAGCATCTGCCTTCAGCTCAGGTCATGGTCTCAGGGTCCTGGGATCGAGTCCCACATCGGGCTTCCTGCTCAGTTGGGAGTCTCCTGCTCCCTTTCCTTCTGCCTGCTGTTGTGCCACCCCCCCCCCCGCCCTCTTATGCCAAATAAATAAATATAATCTTAAAAAAAAGTATATGTACTTTGTTTGAAGGTCCTGGGGGAAAGGCCTCACTTGTTGGTTTCTTCCCCCTTTCCTGTTGGACACTCCATCTCACATACCCTCTCCTTTCCCCCAAAGCCAATATTCAGGGGTGCTTCTGGAAAGGGCTCAGTGAGTGCCCTTGTGGTTCTGGGCCATGCAAAGCAGGGAAGCCTGTGCCCCCGGGGTCTGGTGACAGCTGCCTTAGGAATCATTTACAAGGGGTCTGGAGCACCCCAGGCTGGCAGTGGGGTAGGGGGCGTGACCGCTCGGAGTGGCTTCTCTTCAGGACTGTGAAGTGGGTATTATGATCTTTGGCTCTTTTTTCCTAGTGACACAAAACAAGGGATATTTGGTGTTGGTGGATTCATGCCTTTTGGATTCTCCGGCGTCCTGTCAGGGGCAGCAACCTGCTTCTATGCCTTCGTGGGCTTTGATTGCATCGCCACCACAGGTATGGCGCCTGCCCACCGTCTGGGGCCCAGCCTGTAGGTCCTCCTCTCCCATCAGACAGGCTGGACTAATTTTACCCATGGGTTGCTGTTTTCCTTCCTGTGGGCATGTGCCGGCTGCCGCTCTTTCACACATGAGTAACGTGTAGATTTGTAGCTTCCTGCTGATCTCCCCCCCCCCCCCCGCCCTTTTATCACTTCCCCAAGTGGCAGTGCCTGACAGGAAAGTCTTCATCATGAATGTGACTAACTATTGTGCTGCTAGGACGGGGTAATGATAGCGTGGCTACAGCCCGATTTCATATCTGTGCGTCATCTGGGAGAAATGAAGCCATTAAAAATATTGTTATCCGAGTGACTGAATAGGCTGGGCTCTGTCGGGCCTCCTGAATTTTCTCTGCCAAAGGAAATAAGTCTTTTCCTTGGCTGAACCAGGGAATAAAGGCGGAAAACACCATCCCTGGGCTTTATGAGTCTTCTGGTCTGTGTTAGGAGGGCCACCTGTGATTCCCAGAAGCCCAGAAGATCCTGGTTCCCATAGGGCTGAGCACTGCGGGGGAGTCATTTATGGGTGGCACAGGCATCTTCTGGATGCCCCTCACTATCTTGCCCTCCTGGGCCTGACCCCTTGCTGCTTCTAGGTGAAGAAGTCAAGAACCCTCAGAAGGCAATCCCTGTGGGGATTGTTGCATCTCTCCTGATCTGCTTCATTGCTTACTTTGGAGTGTCTGCTGCCCTCACGCTCATGATGCCATACTTCTGCCTGGACAAGGACAGCCCCCTGCCTGACGCCTTCAAGCACGTGGGCTGGGAAGGTGCCAAGTATGCAGTGGCCGTCGGCTCCCTCTGTGCTCTTTCTACCAGGTGAGGCCTCTGAAGCTCTTGGGAAGGGAAACTCTCTCTTCCCAATCTCACTCTTCCCTTGAAATCGAACCAGCACCCCAATCCTGGTGATATGGCTTCTCCTCTTGTTGTTTGCAACCATCCCACGAGTTGTTATTAATACTTTCATCCTGAAGACTCTGAGGCCCACTTTCAGACATCATCTTTTTAGCAAGGGTCTAGCGTGCTATCCCCAACTTTGGCCCCTGGACCAGGCCACCTCTTGGAACACTGTCTCTTGGCTCTTAGTTTGGCCCAAGAAAGTAAATGTCTTTTAATTTATAGACATTAATGTTTAAAAGACATTAAATATCTTTTAAAAACATTTTGCCCCCAATGTTTGGTGTTAGCCTGTATGTACAGGAAATATTTGTTGAACATTGATTTACCACGAGAAATCCTTATGAGCACAGTGATACCTTTATTTTCTGTTTGATTCACCTAGAAATTTGTGGGAATAAATACAAGATTTCATTTTCATAAAAGTGATGACTAGATCCCATGCATGTTTATGTTATGTTAGGCCATTCTTTCAGTGAATACATAACAGTAAGTGCTTTTTCCTGGGTTGATGCATTGAATTTTGTCTTTCAGCCATGGGCTTCACCTAGTTTGGAGGACAGCAGTTCTCGGTGATAAGTTCAGGGCTCCCTCTTGGTGATCTGCATTACAGGGTACAGATGCGACAATGGTCGCATTACAGTGCCCTTCTCCCTGATGAGCTAATGTTACAGATGCGTTTTGCCTTTTCCTCCCATATAGTCTTTTAGGTTCCATGTTTCCCATGCCTCGAGTTATCTATGCCATGGCTGAAGACGGACTGCTATTTAAATTTTTGGCCAAAATCAACGATAGGACCAAAACACCAATAATCGCCACGTTGACCTCAGGTGCCATTGCTGGTAAGAACTGCAACTAATCCCATATAACCAGTATCTTAACAGTTGAGCTACTAGTCCCTAGGGAAATAGCTTGAATTATGTTGGTCTGTGAGAAGTTGGAACTGGTCTTTTTAACATTTGGTTTTTGCCCTTGAAACCTGGGTTTCCTGCAAGATAGCTGCCCTTTTGACTAAAGGCAGAGACCAGTTTTATAGAGGATGCGATAGCATTCTCAAAAACTTTTGAATCCTTTTATTATGATTACCCTCTCATTGGACAGAGCTTGGAACACACACTATCCTTTCAGAGCCATTTGTATTTACCCTTTTCTGAATGTTTCTGAGTAGACTTTGGCAGGATGACCTCTTCTTGCATGGCACCGGCCAAGAGACATTTTGTTCATACTGGAAATTCATTGTCCATGTCTTAGCCCATGGATTCTCAGAGGAGTAAGAATCCCTTAGGATTCACGTTTTATGAAATGTGCTATCTATTCTCCAGGAGATGTTGGGGGTGTTGCTAGGGTGTCAATTGCTGTAAGTTTGTAAGTAGTGGCAGGCTCAGAGGAGGTTTATCTTACCAAATACCCAGTTCCTCACCAAGAGGATGGTTTTGAAATTAGTGCCCAAAGAACCCTTGGAGCCATGTGATATTCTGAGGGCCCCTAATTAAGAAAAGGGGACCGTCAAAGGAAACTTACATGCCTAATGTACTGTTACTGGTTTTTTGTATTTTCTCCTTTAATAATTGCCCCTCTGAGCTCTCAAGAGACAGGCATTATTCATCACATTGTACAGAGAGATGAAGTGAGGATGTACACCCACATCCAGGGGATCTGGTTCTTGGTTCCCAGTTTGTTTTTATGCCAAGTGACTGGCTTCTTTCGTGTTGTGAGTAGTACTGTGAATCTTAGTGTATTAGGACACATGATACCAATTCAGCCTGTACCACAGGGACTACTCAGATAGCCCCAGTAAGACATTTGACCATCTTAAATGAATTATTGTTAATGGTGTTTATGCCCTTAGTAAAGTGTGCTTAGTTTTGTGGATTAATGTTATATAGGGAAAGAAAGCTAGTTTTTTATTATTTAACAAATTTGTTATGTAATTGTGCATTCTTGGCTGTGATCTCAGTGGTCAGGTTAATAGACACCATATGTCAGAATATGATCAATATATTTAAAAGATTAAGGAATTCGAAATAGTAATGTTTTTTCCAGGATTTAAATGTAATTTGATCATATTAAAGACTGGCCATTAATTTCCTTCCTGTGTTGATCAGGAGAGATCAAACTATAATCTTTAAAGTGACTATAAAGTACAAGCATTCACCAAACCAGGGATTTTACTCTTTCTTTTCATTTGGCAGGACTAGTAAATAAGTATTCGGTTTTCTAAAATCTCCCCACATGCAAAGAGTTTGGCCTAAGTTTCTGTGTGAGTGGGAACATAGGCATCTGTGGCATGCAGTTGGATACTATTCTAATTATCTAGAAGGCTCAGTATTGCTCTTTGATCCTGTGATTTATCCTTAATTTAAATTTGTTTCGGTTGAAGTAATCTATAGGGGCTTGAGAAATATTTGTGGAAAAGTAATGGTTTTATGTTTATGTTTTAACTTATGTTGATTGCATGTGATTTGAAAATATCCCAAAGTAGATCTATCCAAGTAATTTTTTAAATGGGAAATTTAACACATATACCCATATAAATAGAATGTATACTCAGAAAAATTACAGAGATTTTTCAAATAAGCATGAATGTTGTATATTTTTTTTAAGTGGGGTCATGGTAAAGGTACTGATATTGTTTGGAAATGACCCTGCTTTCCAGGCTCAGCTGCCTGGGTTAGGAGCCCCTGTGAGTCCTCCCAGAGCACTAGACTTGACCTGCTCATCACTGTTGCCTACTGATGCCTGTCTTGGATGATACACTCAGGGAAGCCGGAGACTCTCTGGTCTGCCCTTTTTGATGATGTACATTTTTGATGGTATACACTTACTGGCATACTCCCAATGAGTGCTAGGTAGATGATGAATGAGTGGGTAGATGATGGATGGATGGATGGATGGATGGATGGATGGATGGATGGATGGTTGGATGGCCAAATAGATGGATAGATCATGGGTGATGGATGGACAGAGGATTGCTGGATGGATGGATGGATGATGGGTGACTGGTGTGTGGGTAGATGGATAGATACACATAACTGTCTGTGAGTTTGCATAATATAGAGAAAGACATTGCACTCAGAGCCACAAGAACCTAATTGAGATCCTGACTTTTCCACTTCCTAGCTGTGTGACTTTAGATAAGCCTTCCAACATGTCTGACTTTAGTTTCTCCATCTGTAGTGTAGCGGTAGCTTGCAAAGTTGTCATGAGGATCAGTAAAGGTCATGATGATGAAAGTGCTCTCTAATATAAATGTTAATCATTATTACTGTCTGCTGAGCACTGTGTATGTGATTTTATCCTGAGCTTTTCTTCCCTTTAAGCAATGTCACAGTGTGTTTCCATGGAAAGGGCTGGGGAGAGGAAGCAAGTAAAAGCAGCACCCTGTGTGCCCTGGATCATCAGTGGGAGGTGGTTCTGACTGTTAGAGTCTGTGGAGGGCCACCAATGGATCCTGATGTTTGTCTCCTCCCCAGCTGTGATGGCCTTTCTCTTTGACCTGAAAGACTTGGTGGACCTCATGTCGATTGGCACTCTTCTGGCTTACTCTCTGGTGGCTGCCTGTGTGCTGGTCTTACGGTATGTATGGCTCTTCAGGGTTCCATGATAGAAATGGAGATGCATCCTGTTAGCCTTTTAAAATTTCAAGTTAATGGCTTATACAGTGTAAATTTTAGTCTGTTGATAACTCCTTTGGAAACTGCTCTGGAGAGGGTGGGATTTGGTGGTTTGAGCGCCTAGCTAGAGAGAACATCACTGAAAAGAGTCAGGGGGCTCACCTCTCACTGTCATGTGCCCTCATTTTTCTGGTGGGATGTCAGGAGGATAGAGACGGGTTCTCAGCCCAACTGTCGGGTCTGGGCCAGGGTACAGAATTTTTGAAGGCTTAAGGGAATGATTTCAGTTTGGCCCAGTTCTTAGGTAGGAGGAGACTGGGAACTAGTCCTGGTGGGAACTGGGTGAATCCAAGTTGTGTGAACCATGGTGTCCTGGTGTTCTCAGCTGCCCCAACACCTCTCTCCCCAAGCATACCCCTGTGCTCCAGTTTTCCTTTGCTCTAGAAGGACAGGGCTCTGCTTCTTCACTATCAGGAAAGGCTCAAGGGGGCATTTATCATGAGAATATGGAGTCGTGGAGACTCTCAGTGGTGGTCACCTGGGAAGAGCCTCCCTATTTCTTTGCAAGTATTTATACTAACAAGGTCATTTATTCCATTTCTTATGTGCTTTAGCACCTAATTTATGTCAAACTTGGATTGAGCTCAGTAGTGGCTGTGGTGTACAATAAGCTAAAATTTGTTTGCTAGTTTTCTGACCACTTATTCCTAAGGGCTCAACACTGGAATCTTTTCTGAGGTTCCCCTCACATTCTTACTGACCAAATGGTGTTAACATAAGTGAATCAGTTTAAAAAAAAAAAAAAAGGTTAAATATCTTTATGCTCACTCTTAGATTATATGCAAAATAATTCAGAAAGCACTGTGTTTTTCATAGCTGGTAGAAAAGATTTGAGCTCTGTTCATTTTGGGTGGGAAGATAAGGAACCTCGTTTAAAATGAATGCTTTACTTGCAGGAAGCTTATGTCTTGGAAATCATGCCACAGGCTCAGTCCTTTAGCCAGCTCTATAAAGTTTATTTATTCTAAGGCATTTTTGGAGTTTTAAAATAAATTGATCCAATTAAGTCTCACAAATATAATTTCTCAAATCTGTCCGCCTGCAGACACATTTCTCTGGCTCTCTGTACCAGACAGGATCCTAATGTTACTGCCTTCTATTTCTGTTTGTACTTCTAGCTCCCTTCAGCCATAGTTTTGTTGGAAGTGGCCTAATATCTTAAGCATCCAGAGGCCAGTGCTACTTTTCAAAGCAAGAGAAACCATCTCCGTACATTCCTCTTGGCGTTGTCTCAAATCAGAGACCCCAAGGAGGATGTTGCCCAGAAGCAGGAAGGAGAGGATTCAGGTCTCCTCCTCTGTATCTACTTTGCCAGAGAATGCATCATTCTGACCATTTTCTTCCCATGTTATGCCTGGTGTCCTGGACAACTTACCTTTGAAAGCTTACTAAGAACTTGAGTTAGTCGTGTCCCTTTACCTAATTAAAGCACATTATGATGGTTGCACAATACATTTCTTTACAGATATCAGCCAGAGCAACCTAACATGGTATACCAGATGGCTAGAACTACCGATGAGCTCGATCAAGTGGACCAGAATGAATTGGTGAGCACCAGTGATTCCCAGACAGGCTTTTTACCAGAAGCAGAACGGTTTTCTTTGAAAACCATACTCTCACCCAAAAATATGGAGCCTTCCAAATTCTCCGGGCTGATTGTGAACATTTCAACCAGCCTCATAGGTAAGAGCCCGCCCTTCCCTTTTAGGTGTTTGGGGTCCTGCTAGTTGTTAGCATTTCAGGGTTTCTTGTCAATGGTGGTGGAGGCAAGTCTGGAAGGAATAAGCGTCTGTCTTGCTACTGGACTGTGATGTCACTTACTCTGCCTCATGGTTGTTGATGGTTGCAGAAGCGGAGCCTCCCTCTCCATTGGTTTTGGGGAGACTGAGGATATCTGTGGGGATTTGAAATAAGATTGAATTGCACCTCTCTCTCTCTCTCTCCTTCTTAGCAATTCTTATCATCACCTTCTGCATTTTGGCTGTGCTTGGAAAGGAGGCTCTGACAAAAGGGGAGTTGTGGGCAATCTTTGTGCTTACCATATCTGCACTTCTCTGCTCCCTGGTCACAGTCATCATCTGGAGGCAGCCTGAGAGCAAGACCAAGCTTTCGTTTAAGGTGAGGAGCTCTGCCTGCAGGGACCTCCTGGTAGGTTCCTGTGGTAGGTGCCACAGATCCTGGCACTCCTGCGCCCCACATGGGGGTCACATCGCACTGCCAAGCCTTGGAGGTGACTTGGGCATTTGCACTTTAGATTACACCAATAATACAGCAGTTCAGTGTTGGAGATAAAGTGGAAGTCCCTCTTCTAGTCCCTTCTTTAACAGGCAAATAGCAAGGGAAGAAAATGAGAATAGAGCTCACTTTGACGCTTAGTAGCTTAGAACCAAACTCTCACCTATTAGGATTTGCCTGTTGTGGGGGGTCTGGCTGTGTGTATATATGTGGATTGGGGTGCACTTGCTTCCTCCTCCCCATATAAATAGCTCAGTGCATCTGAATTTCAGGGGTGGGATCTTCTCCTAGGTTGCTTTGCTAAATGACTAAAAAAGTGCCATCCCCCTGCACTCCACTCCCTGCAGACTTGACACTGCCACCCACTGTCTTTGCAGGTGCCCTTCTTGCCTCTACTTCCCGTCCTGAGTATCTTTGTGAACGTCTATCTCATGATGCAACTGGACAAAGGCACGTGGGTCCGGTTTGCAGTGTGGATGCTGATAGGTATGTGAGATCACAGGTTTTACTGTGATGGCGTCTCACTCCACCCCCAGTCCCCGGAGCCTGTGCTGTGCTGCTTATTTTTCTTTCCTGCAGCTTGGCCGGATGCCTCTCTGGTTTCAGATTTCAAAACAAAATGAAAACACATGTAGTCAGCGGTTTCTTTCTCAATAAGGAGCTCCTAGTAGGTTGCGGGTCCTACCTTCTCTTTTAGATACTTTTCATTTTAGTAGCTCTTGCCTGAGCTAGTTATGTCATTGGGCAAGAGTTGAAGGTAACAAGAGTGAGGCTAGGAGTCTGCTGTTAACGAAGCACCAGTCCATCTTCCCACACACGGGAAGGTCTAGACCGTGCCTCCCTCAGCCCAGCCTGCATCTGCCCGCTGGCCCATGTGGGCTGAGGGTGCTGCCAGGGCCTGCAGGATGCTTGGAGGTCACCTGTTGTAGGCTGATGGTGGCCCATCCCCTCGCTGGGTTTTCAACACCTGGGACTGCAGGAAATGAATCCAGGCTCCTTCCTGAATGCAGGAAACAGGAGCAGGCCTTGCCCTCACCTCTCACTATCACTGACAAGAGCAGTAACCCCAGGACTGTGTTTCTGCCAAAGCCCTCAGCCCTGGGTCACCACGCTTGGGGGCAGATAGCTGCTGCCTCAAAATCCTTCTCTGCCCGCCCCACATTGTCTGCAATGTGTGGCCTGAAGCTGCTTAGACAGACACCCCCTGCAGAGCCTTTCTGTGAGAGGGTTGGCTCAGCGTGTGATGGTGTGTGATTGGCACACATTCCTCCAGACTGGGGTAAGGTGCTCATTTCCTGGCAGGGCTGGAGGACACCTGCTTCTAGGCATCCCGGACATGAGCTCCTGGGCTCCAAGCCATTAGCTTATTTCCAGGGCTTTTAATGGCTGAACCCTTCTTTTAAAGGCTGTAAGGCCTGCTCTCCTTGTGTCTCTGGCACAAGGGTGGCCTCAGGGCCACACGGGCTGTACTCCTTGGGTGGGTGGCTAAAGCTCAGATCTCTGCCCCACCGCAGACCTTCAGTGTCTCCAACACTGGAATGGATTGAACCCTTGTGTTACACACATTTGTGGGCCACTTGAATGCCTCCTCCCATCTGACAGTCACATAGGTAGAGAAAACAGACAGTCAGGACTATGGAAGCCACTCGAATAGCCTGGGGAGCCCTGGTGCCCCCTGGGAATCCCACCCTGGCAGGGCCCAGTCCAATTGCTGGAGTGTCTGTCCCGTCCCCACCAGTGACCACACAGCCCCAACCAGGTGGGCAGTAGATGAAGCTGCGAGACCAGTGCCCCTCTCTGGCCCCCGGCCTAGCCTCTCCCCGCTCCAGAACTGCCCCAGCGTGAGGCTTTCCAGAAGGCAGTGTGCCTTTCCTGCACATAGAGGTGAGATAGTGACTTTTGTCGATCATAGTCCAAGAGCCCTTTCGTTTCTCCAGACACAAGGTTGGGCCATGAGGGGTGCTTTCTCTGGGTTCAGGCCTGGGACGGGCAGCAGGGAGAGGCTTTCCTGTGGGGCCACATGACGGACCCAGGGCTTCTCGGCCTGCTCTGTTCACACCGGGTCTCTGCTCTTGGCCTACAGGCTTCATCATCTACTTTGGCTATGGTTTGTGGCACAGCGAGGAGGCGTCCCTGGCCACCGACCAAGCAAGGACTCCTGATGGCAATTTGGACCATTGCAAGTGACACGCAGCCCTACTCCCAGGGGTGGCAGCAGCCCAAGGGATGCCCGCAGAGGTCCTGGGAGCACCTTGCTCCCCCCACCAGTGCATCAGGACCCACCCACATCTACAGAGCCCCAATGCAGCAGAAGGTGCAGCTACTTGAAATGCAGCCTCGGCCCACAACCCGTGTGTCCTGCCTAGACTTGCTCCTTGGCAGGTGCACCACGTCCCAGTCACCTCTGACAGCTCCCTGGTGGGGGCCACTTGGCTGCAGCTGGCCACTGTGGCTCCTGACATCCCTCTGAACAAAGCAAGCGGCTCCCGTCCTCACCAGCTCCGTGCCCGTGCTGCTGCGTCCTCAGGTAGAATGGAGGTCACCTTCTCTTGTTACTTTGAGAAGCCAGGCCTCCCTCCCCAGGGACCATTCTGGTATTAAAAACATCCAAACTCCAGACTTTCAGTAGCCATCTCCCCACTCAGCCCCAGAGGCCAACCGTAGATGCAAGACAAGTACTCCAGAACAGTCTGTCCCCAGCAGTTCCCCAGAGCCAAAGGACAGCAGTATACTTTAAAAAGGAAGAGTAAGACTGGTTTCCTTCTCCCACTCCTGTTTTCTGAATCGCTTCCAGAAGTCATTAGGACTGTAAGCCCTCCCCTACGCCTGCTCCCAGGCAGGGGCATTGCTCTGACTCTCTGACAGGACTGGGCATGCTTAGTACTAGGGGCAGGTGAGGAAGAAGGGGGCACTGCTGTGGGTACAGGGCAGGAGGGCCGAGGGCCCTGGGCGCCAGGGGATGTTCTTCAGCCATACTCCCTCCACTTGCCGCTTCTGGGATCTCTCACCCACACCCCAGGGTTCTGAGTCACTGGAATGTGGCCCTGTGTGCATGTGGGACTGACCTTAGATTAGCAGAGCTTAGAGCACTGTTTTCTGTGGGTCTTTGCCAATCACTAAATCCTGCCCTCTGATGCTTGCAGGTCAGTTTCTTGAGTCTTATGAGGTTCTGGAGGCAGGTATCCACTCATTCTGAGGTGATGGTGGCCGGCCCTGACATCATCTGTGTGGCCCCCCTCTCACGTATCATCACTCTGAGTCCTCCTGTTAGCGTCTGTGAATCACTCCAAGTTCAATTGGCACTTAGTGTTAACTTGAAAAATAGCCAAATATTGCTCAGTGTGTTGCTCTGAGCATGGGGTCTGCACACGAGAATTTGGGGTCATGTTGCTGTCCCTGCCGTTATCTGTTGTCCAAATGTTGGGGTTTGTATCTGGGTTCATCACCCTGCCCCGGACCTCCTGCTTCTGTAAGTCGAGGAACCAGCTTGGGGCCCTGTACACAGTGTGCTCCCTCCCATATGCTGGCACACTCTGTGGCTCACACACACTTTGAGGACGGGGCCCGAGAAAGAAGAATGCTGACAGAGTCTTCCTTCCAATTAGACTGCGGCTCCAGAGACAGAAGGGCCCCGTGCTGATGGGAGGTGAGGGTGGGGGAAGGCCTGTGGACACCCCAGAAAATGCAGATGCTGCTTTTGAAGCTCAGACTCCCATTTCTTCCCTGGTCTTTGACACAAATCTGGTAGAAAGAAGCCTGGTAAGTTGATGGCACTTGTCTGATCTCCCTCAGTAAGTCTGGAGAGAATTGCAAGAATTTGTGAAATGGCCAAATGGCAGTGGTGGGTGGAGGGCCGGTTGGGCGGGTGGCCAAGGCCCTGAACACCTTGTTTGCTGGAAGCTTTTATTCTGTCATTTGTGAATGTTACAGAGGGAAGAGCATAAGAGCCCCAAGTGTGGGTTTCCAAAGAAAGGTATTTAAATTTATGTAGATTGGTGCTGTACAATATTTTGATAAATATTAACTTATTTTGTTGGGGTTTTGGTCGTCTGCTGTCTTAGGGTTTGTTAGCTATTTGTTTGCTTGATTAGTCTGTTATTTTTCCACATAGGCAAAAAGAACTTGAGGGTAAGAGAATATTTGAGAAAAAGTGCAGGAGAGAATTTTTTTTTCTTTTTTACTTTAATTCCTTTTTTCTGACTGAAATTTCTGTGCGAGACAGCACACAATAGACTGTGCATACAGTTGACATTTCAGCTGGCAACATGTATCCTTCTACCAACTGACAAGGTATGTTTTCCTGATAACATCCCACAGAATGAGAAGCTCCTGGCGTGTCAGGATCCCCCCCAAAGTGGGAAGTGCCTCCAGTAGGCTCACCAGCTTAGTAGTGAGAAGCCCCTGCCCTGCCACTCCCCCCGTTATGGGCAGGAGCCGCCCATTTGGAAAAAGACACCTGAAGGTGCCACAGAGATAGTTCTCATGGTCACTGTGCTTTTAGTGAGAAGCTTTTGTGCAGTTGCCAGGGAAAAGTTCTCTGTATGAGGGTGGTGATGTAAAGAGTGGTATCTGGAGTAAGTCTCCCCACGGTTGAGAAGCTTTTTCTTATCCCATTCTTTATTCCTTCCCCCCAAATAAACTCACATACACACACACAGGCACATACACGCATGTGTGCAGGCAAGAAATAACCACCAGAAGCACCCAACATTTGGCATCCGTAGCCCTCAAGCAAGAATATGATTCTCTGTTTCATGGCTTGGCCAGTATTTTCCTACATCATCAGAGACACACACACCCTTTGGAAATGTGTCTGCTTTTATCTGTGGTCCAGCCCCAAATACCCACATTGGAAAAGACCCATTTGTGTCCAGTAAGCACCCCTCCCCGCCTCCTGCAGTGTCCCCACTCTGCATGTTTTTGTGACCCCTTGAAGACTCACGAAGACTCAACTGAACTGTGGAGCCCCAGGAGCTCTGCTGAAGAGTGAAGGGTGTGAGAGGGTCTCCAGGGAAGCAGTCAGACCCCGTGGGCCAGTGAGGCTGAGCCTGCTTCTAGGAGGGGGGCCTTCGGGGGGATAGTGGGCCTCTGCACACCCCTCAGCTCACCTCCTTTCAGCCTAACTTTGGGCCTTATTTGTTTTTCCAAACCAATAGGGAGATGTGGGTAGTGCCATCTTTCCTAGGGTGTTTGGAAAGACTGCTAAATCGATATTGTCAGAACCCCCCCACCCCAGCTCCCCTACTTGTGGTTTTGTTCCACTGCGTCATTTCTGTCAAGAGATCAGCCTCCTGGTCCCATGTGCTGATACTGGGCTTGGGGTTTCACAGGCATCCTGCCTGCCCTGTGTCCTCAGGTGACTGCAGCGTTCTGGGGGCTTCACCCAACCAGGGTTCCTGCGGCTCTGGTGTGCCCCCTTCTGCACCTTCGGTGCAGCCTGTGCCCATACCTGGATGAGGCACCTGGCCCTTGTTTGTTGGGCTTCACGCATGGCAGCAGGTGCCAACTGGGCCGTACGCTCTCTTCCCGCGACTGAGCAGGTGTTCTGAACGGAGTTCTGTAGTCTGCACAGGATGGCCTCTGGCTTAACACCACATTTGCAGCTATGAGCACAGGGTCAGAGACTGAGTTCCTTGGGTGAGTGTGGATATGCCTTGTAAAGGCCCCGGCCAGAGCGTAGGCAGGCTTATGGGCATTTGAGGGGCCTCGCCAAATGGAATACCTGCTGGCTCTGTGCCAGGACCCAGCTCCTCTGATTTGCATGTCCCACTTCCACACATCTCATAAAAGCTGATTGTTCTGCTGGCGCCCAGGAGTCATCACCATGAAGACGGGAGTAGGGGATGTTGGTGCCAGGCCCCATTACCGACGTGCTCTAGCACGGATGGAGAGGTGTGTCTGCTGGGCACAGGTGTGTGACACTTGTGTGCTTCTGTGTGGGACTGTTACAGAGTTGCCAGCAGATGGAGCTAAATGTGTTGCGTCTGACTGTTATATATAATTTAAGGTATACATTTGACATCATAATGAGAGTATTGTATGTAAGGCTTCTTAGGGAGAGTGAGATACACATTTTGTGGACCCCCCCCCTTTTTTTTGTAATGAAATGCTTTATCGATCCAGTGTGCAAGAAGCTACATTTCATCACGATTCTTAATGGGTTTTTAAGGCAAAAAAAAAAAAAAAAAAAAAGTTAACTGACTTTGATAGTCTTTTTGTGCCCGTTGCTTCACTGAGTGGCAGTGCTCTTTCAAGAGGGACAGGGACTGGCCAGAGGTCTCCGGGCACAGGTTTCAAGGAACCCTCCTGGATGACCCTGTAAGCGTGCTGAACCGCTGGCTGAAAAACCCATATGAGATAAAGATCTCGGCTGTGAAGTCCAACCAATTGATTTTCTCAGGGTATGAGCGTGTCCAGCAGGGTCAGGAAGCAGGGCTAGGAAGATGCACTTGACTTTGTTAAGTAATTAACAAGGTATATGATTTTGTGTTTCTCGAGGACAGACTTTTTTAAGTTTGGGACTTATTTTCCCACTTGAAAAGTTGTAATATATATTTAAAGTGAGTTTCCCGCTTAAGTTGTGCCTTTCAGTGTCGATGGGTCTAAGAAGCACAGAAGGTGATGACCGCAATGAGGGCTGGTTTATTATCAAACCTGAAAAGCTGTGGTTTCTCCAGTAAACTTTTCCTTCTACTGATCATGGAGCCATTAATAAGAGAATTGTGTTTATTATGTAAAATTGTATAATATTTTTTTGCTCGTTTGATGTTCTATTTTTCTAATAGTTTTCTTATAGTTTCTTATAATCTAGATTTAGATTCTGATGCCCCCTGCAAACCAGGCTATCTCTGCTGGCCCCTCCTAGTTTTTATTTTAAGGACAAGCATAGATGTCCATCGCCTTTTAAAAAATGTGAACTCTGCTCTGTATCCCATTCGTGCTGACAATACAGTATGTTGACAACTCCCTACTATATGTTGTAAAATCAAATTATTTTGTGGTACATTATCTCATGCTTCCGCAAACTCTAATAAATTCTGTATATGGCTTCAGTATGTACAGTGTGATCTCAAGAATTGTAGCAGCTCTTGACCAGGGTCCTCGGGCTTGTCATTGCCCCACAGAGACTTCCACATCCTGCCCTTTGCTTCTTTAGTTTCTTCCTGTTTCCCCACAGCCAGATGTTGCAGTGCCTCATTTTCCCTTGGCCACTAGGTGCAAATCCTCATTCCAAGGACTAGCATCTCAACCGGGGAGTCCCCCAGCCCTCATTTAGGATCCTCTCATGCTGTCTCCGAGGACCTCTTTTTTCCAGACTTGGCTTAGGTCTGAGCCCCGACGTCTTCCCACCAAAGTCGCAGCCAGCCAAGGACTCAGGCTGCTCATCCCTCGCGCCACGCACACCTCAGCCCCGCCCTTCCTCCACAGGCACCGATTGTCAGGATGGGGCTGGGGTAGGGCTGAAGCTGCTCCCCACCCACCACACACCCCGCTTGAGGAGGGGAGCGTCCTCTTGCCCAGGAGGCAGATTCAGTCCAGTGGCCTCAACTCTCGGCCACTACCCTGCTGTGATTTGGTGATCGCATTGGGAAGGGTGTTGCCACCCCCCCCCCCGACAGGGTCCAACCTTAGAGTGTTCTCGGGGTGGGGGGACACGCTGCGGCCGGCTGCACCCCGAGTGTGCAACAGCGGAATCCGTCAGCAAGTCCTCCCCAGCCCGGTCTCGGATCTGCGCCCGCGGCGCCCCAGGCCGCAGAGCGCGGCCGGTGTGCGGTGCGGCCGGGGCCGCAGGCGGGCAGGAGGCCTCTCTGTCGCCCCCAGCTCCCCCCCCCCCCCCAGAGCGATCTCTCCGGTAGAGGTTCTGCTGACAGCTGGCGGGGGCCAGAGCCCAGGGCGGGAGCCGCCTGGAGGGCAGGTGGCGGCGGGCTGGGGGCGCGGCGCGCTAGAGCCCCGCCTCCGGGAGCCGCGGCGGAGCCCCGTTCCCACGGCGCCGCAGCGCCGCCCAGCGGCCGGCAGGAGCCCCCGCAGCCCCGTCTCAGCCGCTCCTCGGAACCGAGCCCAGAGCGCGGGGCCCATGGGGAGCCGCGGGAGCAAGCTTTCCCTCCCGGGTTGGTCCCGAAACCCTTCTGGTGCCTCGAAGGCTGCGCTCACACGGCTCGGCGCTGGCAGCACCGAGGGATCCTCCGGAGCCCCTCCGCGCCTGCGGCCTGCCCGCTCCAGCCCGGCCTCGCACGACCACCAGAGCCCGGGCGCTTGGGAGGCCCAGAGGACGACCCTGTCCGCCCCTCTTCGAAAGGGAATCGTTTTCGTTTTACCGGACCCTGGCTGCCCACCGGGCCGTAAATGCGGCTATTGACTAGAACGTGACGCCAACAGGCGCCGCTGTTGCTCCTGAGGCCGCTCTTGGGCCAGCTTGGCCGGCGCCCGATCCGGGGACCCTCCCACGGACGCCCTCCTGCGCCTCGAGGCCGTGAAGTTACTGTCCTCGCTCTACAGTGCGGCGGGGGGCGCGGCGGGGGCGGGGACAGCCCTGCCACATCAGTTTGGGTGCGGTTGAAGCAGGAAACCGCTCTGCAGGCAGCAGCAGTGCAAGGACAGCTTGCTCGGGGGTCCAGGAGTGGGGGCCCCGGCCTGTGCCCAGGTCACGTGCACCAGGGGGCCCAGCTGAGAGCTGCACCGCCCCACCCCTGCTGGCTGGCGGCCCCGGCGGCGCATGAGCCTGCACCTCCTAAGCGCCTCTTCCCTCCACGCCGACAGGGGAGAATTATACTTGGTGCTCAGAAACCCCAAGTGTCCTGTTTTTGTTTCCAGAAGTTTAAGAGAAGCAACCTGGTTTGTTTTTTGTTTTTTTTTTTTTTTAAAAGAGATTTAGCAAATTTAAGCGAATGAACTCCCTTTAACAACCAGGACAGCATACCAGCCTTCCGTGGGTTTTGTAAGTATTGGGCCCAAACTCTCCATGGCGCAGGACCCTGACTCTTGATCACGGATGCTGTGACAGCGTGCAGGACAGCGATGCTGCATGGTGCCGCATCAGCCACGAGAAGAGCATTCAGCTCCAATAGCAGGCGGGTGGTTTCAGCTTTGTTTCTACCTGAGCTTAACTCCTCCATCGCTCCCTTCTTGATGAGATGATCCACCTCTCCCATGCGGGGGTGGCGGGCTGTACCAGGGTCCTGGGCACACTGGAGGTGACAGTCTCCACCAAAGATCTCTGCTGCAAGTTACCTGTGGAAGGGGACGCAGTTCTCTGCAGACAGGAGGAAGCCAGCGCTTAACCCCTTTTCCTGCACATGCCAAGGGGCGAGTCACGTCTGCTCTTTGGTTAAGTGGAGGTGCTGACCTGTACCTTGTTTACCTCATGCATAGGTGGAAGGACAATGGAAAGTGGTTATTATACAAGTGGAGGGCACAAGACACCCCAAAAGACACTAATAGGTTGGGACAGGTTGACAAGGAAATCATTTAGTAAACACATAGTCATTGTCAACAATCTGGAGGTGTGGGTGATTCAGAGGGGATCTGTAGTGTTCCTCTCGGGTCCTGAGGTGACTCGAAGTGATTTGTCATCCACAAAAGTCTCTTTGTTCAGCTACTGTTTGGGGGGCAGGCTTGCCTAAGTATCAAGTTGTTTCCACTCCTATATGCCCTGCGAAACCAGCATGGAAAGCTGGCCACACTGGGTCTCCCTTGTAACCCAAAGAAGGGGCAGGCCCATGTGGACATTGCAGTGTCAAGCTGGACAACCTGAGGCGGGTGAGATGGGGGAAGTGCTTTCAGGTAGAAGTGAGTGTCCTGGCTGCACTTTGGGGTATTCTAGGGAGGCCTACAGAGCTTTCCAGGGTCCTGTGTTCCCTGTACCCCATTTCCCCCTGCCCCGTTGGGGGAAAAAGCTCATGATAAGGGCCTGCTGCGACTGTGGGCATTGTCTGTGATGATCCTGATGGGATTTAGGGCACACCAAGCTCTCTTTGCAGTAGAAACATACACCTGTTTAGGTCTGAATGTGAAATCGATGGGGAAAGGACTGTAGTCCATGTGTCGTGTCCTTTTGAACTGAGTCTAGCCCACCCAGCCTCCGGAAGATGGCCTAGCAGAGTGGAGCCTTGATGCTCTCTGAGGTTCAGGGCAGAGCTGCTGGGATCTGGGCTGGAAGACAGCTGCGGGACCCCTGGACCTGCTGGGTCTGGGGAGAGTGGGTCTTGGTGAGTGACAATCAGCTGACACTGGTACCTGCAGAAAGGGAACGTGGCCTGCAAAACACCTCCCTGCTTCCCTGCCTTGGATCCCCAGCAGGGGATTTCCTGAAGCCTGGGAGGGCCAGGCTGACAGTTACATCAAGTGCATATCACAGCAAGTCCCTCAAGTTAATTTTAATATGCTTCAAACACAAATATGTAACACAGAAACTGTAGGGGCCAGATAAATAATGTGTGACCCCATTCAAATAATCACCATGTGTGCCAGCCCGTCAGCCCCCTCCCCTCCCCTGAAACCCGCCCCACCAGAACCTCATTCAGCTTGTGCTGGGCAGGCAAGGGTGGGTGCAGGGCACAGTCAGGTCTCAAACACCAGGAAGAGGCTGGTGAGGTTTGGTGGGTCTGAGGCAGGTGGGGAGGCTGCAGCATCTGGATGTGGAAACCACTCCAGCCCGAGGGGTGGATGGAGGGAGACTTCCATGTCAAGAGGTCCCAGTTCTAATGGTGTGTGTGTGGGGGGGGTAGGGTGGTGAGGAGGGGGCTCAGCGGCTGCCAGCCCTCATGTTTCAGGATAGGAGCAACCCATGATGATGAAGGGATGAAGCCAGGGCAATGTGGGAATTAGCTCAAGTACCCAAGGGCAGGGCTGGTTAGGGCAAAGCTTTAGTCCACCTAGTGAGGGGTTACTTAGTTCTAACATCACTACGACTTTGACTGCAATAGGCTAACACACTGTAGCACGTTCTAACGTTAACACTGAAATCTGTATTGCTGTGTAACTGCATTTAGCAGGTGTCCTTATGGAAGCAGTTCCTAAGGGGCAGAGCCGAGCTACTGCCAAATGACTGTTGGCAGGTGGTGCCTGCTAATAGAATAAATACTTGTGTATTTAGTCAACGTGGCACGATCTACTCTAATGGAATGCCCAACTCAATATCACAACATCATGCAGAGCCACTAAAGGAAAAAAGACATGTCTCTTCAATGAGTATCTATCGTGTATGTCCCGAGGATGGGCAAAGACCCTGGGAGGTTTGCTAGAAATGAGATGTACCTGAGGCCAGCAAGCCCAAGCTTGACTCATGCCAAGAATGCAGACCAGGCCTGTCTTCAGGCTGGCTGCACAGGTGCCCAGCAGGCAGGGCCGCGGGCAAGGTGGCCCCTCCCGTGGGTCGTTTCTTCCTGGTTCCATGGCTCCTGGCACAAGGAGCATCCCTGCATGAGTCTGCTCGCCTGGGGCATGCTCAGAGGCAGCCCTGGATTCAGGACTATTACGAGAGGCCATCAGGAAAAGGTGCAGGGTCTTTGTCACAAACAGGAAACAAAGGCATCATTATCGTCACCATCGTTATCACATCAACTGTTAAAAAACTCTGTCTTTCTTTGTGTGTCATGCTCCTACTCTTCCACAGCACTATAGGGAGAGCTTTCACATTCTAACTCTACTATTTCCGAGACAAATGCCAGTCCAGGGGCCAGGGACTGCTGGCTGACTGTTTCATTGGGCTCCTCTGTTTGGAAGAACCTCCTGGGCCTGAGAAGGGACCGCTGTCAGCTGTGGTACTGCTTGGTCATGGGGCAGAAAATACACCTGGCTTTGTGGGAGGTCATGTGATGATCGAGCACAGCTGCAAAGTGATCCCCCAGGATGGAAGGGTCAGTTTTCTGGAAGCCCCTGCAAGAACCCCTGAGCCATCTCAATGTACAGTTATGGGGTTGAGTTATAGGACCAAACTGATGAGGGGGGATGGTTGTCTATGAAGTGGGGGCCTGAGGGTCATATTTTGGTGGGTTGACCATTTATAGAATCACATTGGAGCACACCACATGGGATGCCAGAGGATGCCTTCCTACTGTGTGCTCAATCAAGATACAGATCCTACCAGCAGTTTTCCTTCTGGAGGACAAAGCGCGGATGGTCTTGGCCGGCTCCAAGGTCATCCTCACCCTCACTCCAGAAGGTTATGTTCTTCCATATTTTCCCAAGGGTGTCGTAGCTTAATGATGGATTCTAAGATGTCACTTAGGAAAAAAGCAAATCTTGTGTTTACAAGACTGTAGATGATTCACTGTCGTGAGAAGCATCTGCAAACCGCTAAACCCCTCAGGATTTCCCACTGCTATCCCTTAGGCACTCACGACAGGAGTATTAATAAGTAAAACTTGCGAATGGAATAATAGTGACCTCACATCATGTTGACTAAGAAGCTGACTGTTCCAAAGGCAGTTACTGTTCACAAATCGCTGGTGTTTGTGTTAGAGTACCACTTGGTGGTAGGTTGAAAGGCGCTTCTTCTCTAACTTTTTTTTTTTTCCTTTTTCTATTTTGGGTAGAAATATTCCTGGGAAGCTAGGTAGAAATGCATTTTCATATCCCAATAATTCTTAGGCACAAGTTAGAAAACTGCTGACCTTCACCAAAATATGTCAGCACTTCATGTTATAAAAAATGCAATTCAGAACCGCTGCATGTGTATATACGTATATCTAAATATACACACATATCGGTGCAGTACACAAGGATTATTCAATGTATATTCAAAACTGAGCTATTTGTAACGAACCTGAAATTCTGCAGTGAAAGTTCATTGCTCAAGAACAACTGGAGTTTCTTCCTTTCTTTTGGCTCTAACTACGGTCAAACGTTTGCACATCAGACACTACCGTTTACACTTTCCTAAGTGCCAACACCAGGACAGTCTTATATGAGGATCAGAAGAGGACTTTGCTTAGGATGCAGCTATGCAGCTACTGAGCATGCGCGCAGGGCCAGCCCCGGGCGGCCCCCGGTCAAGACTCCGTCCGTCTGTCCGTCCCGGTGGAAGCGCTGGGCGGGTCATCTGGGCGTCGCGCTGACTCTGGCGGGCGAGGAGGGCCCCGAGGAGGAGCCACGGTAGACGGGGGACGTGGGCGAGAGTTTAACCGGGCTGGTTGGGTCCCCAGTTTGGAGCTTCCAAAGCAGCTCTTCGTTGGTTCGGCTCAATCTCTTCTTCTCCTGGGTTTCTTTCTCCACATATTCCTGCAGATTGGCATTTTCCTCCGACAGTTGTCTGCATGGGGAGAACAGGAAACAATCAAGCAGGGATTCTGCTGGAAGGCACTGAACTTGAGATTCACCGGGCCAGGGGGGGTCGGGGCAAGGGAGGAGGCTGCCGCCGCCTGCGGGAGCACGGGGACCAAACGGGACCACAGAGACCAAGCCCCATGGGCTGAAGTGTGATTTCCATGCTTCATGCGGACACATCGGTTCCGTCACAGTCCCTCTGCCCCATCAGGGGACGCCCTAGCTGTCCCCCGGACAGAGCAAATGCTGAAGGCAAAAGAGGAAAGGAGGGAAGTGGGGAGCTAGTGTGGGTGTGCTGCGCAGGGAGGCTCAGAGATAGTGGCCATCAACCATAAGGACAGCACAGGGACAGTGCCGTCAGCCCCAGGACGCCTCCTGGCCTCCCTGGCCCTGGCTCGGGTCCCCATGAGAGCAAGCGTCTTCCCCTGCTGCACATGCTGATCTGTGCATCTGCCTGCCTGCTGGACCGAGAGCCCTCGAGGACAGGGGCCAGAGCCGCTTTCCTTGAATCCCCAGCATCCAGCCTGGCGTCTGGCACACAACAGATGCTCAATTAATGGTTGTTGATAAGGGATGCTAAATGAAAAAGGGATCGATGGGTCCTGTGCTGTCATCAAGTGTGAGTTGCTTGCTTTGTTGCATTTTGTATAAATGAGGAACTGACAGGGATGAGTACACAGGCATTTTGTAGCTGCACGGACTCAGCCCAGGAAGCCAGCTCACTTGGATAAAGCCTGGACTTGCTCTTTGGGCCAGGTGCCTTTGTGATTTCCAGGGGAGGCACGGGTTGGGGTGGCTCAGGTTGAGCATGGTGGGTGACAGACCTGCTGCCTTGGCACAGTCTCTCCTGTGAGCCTCTGGGGTGGGAACGAATGCCAGCACCACGAGTTCAGTTGCGGAGGTAATGTGTGTATGTGTGTATATGTGTGAGTGTGTGCAAGTATATGTGTGTGACCTGTGAGGCGGTGGGCACACAAGAGTGTGTGCATGTGAGTGAGCATGATCGTGCAAGTCTGGGAGCATGCACACTTGTGTACACCTGTGGGTGACAGGAAGCACAGGTACGTATGTGAGTGTGCGTGTGCATCACAGGGTGACATATATGGATCCAAGAAGGAGTTCAGTTCAGTAAGGGGTCAGGGGTCAGGCATGGGTCCCACAGAGAGAGCTCTATCCTCATGGACAAAGTGCAGGCACACCTCATATTACTGTGCTTCATTTTACTGCACTTTGCAGATATTTTTTATAGGCTGAAGGTTTGTGCCAGCTCTCAGTAGAGTACGGTTACCGGTGCCAATTTTCCAACAGCATTTGCTTACTTCACATCTTCACGTCACATTTTGGTAATTTTTGCAATACTTCCAACTTTTTCATTATTATTATGTTTGTTATGCTGGTCTGTGATCAGTGATCTTTGATGTTACTACTATAATCGTTTTGGGGGTCCACGAACTACATCCGTATAAGATCGCAAACTTAATCAATTAATGTTGTGTGTGCTCTGACTGCTCCATCGACCAGACTTTCCTGGTCTCTCTCCCTCTCATTGGGTGCCTCCCTATTTCCAGAGACACAACAATATTGAAGTTAGACCAAAGAATAACCCTACAATGGCCTCTTAAGTGCTCAGGTGAAAGGAAGAGTTGCACGTTTCTCACTTTAAACCAAAAGCTTAGTGAGGAAGGCATGTGGAAAGCCTCGGTAGGCTGAGAGCTGGGGCCTCTTGTGCCAAACATCAGCCAAGTTGTGGTGCAAAGGAAAGATTCTTGAAGGACATTAAAAGTGCTACTCCAGTGAACATGTGGAGTAGAAAGTGGAACAGCCTTACTATTGATATGGAGAAACTTTGAGTGGTCCGGAGAGAAGAGCAAACCAGCCACAACATTCCCTTAGGCCCAAGACTAATCCAGAGCAAGGCCCTAAATCTCTCAATCTGTGAGGGATGATAGAGGTGAGGAAGCTGCAGAAGAAAGGTCTGAAGCTGGCAGAGGTTGGTTCCTGAGGTTTAAGGAAAGAAGTCAACTCCAGAACATAAGGTATAAGGTGAAGCAACAAATGCTGGTGTAGAAGCTGCAGTGAGGTACCCAAAAGGTCTAGCTAAGGTGATTCATGAAGGCAGCTACACTAAACAATAGATTTTCAATGTAGACAAAACAGCCTTCTGTTGGAAGATGATGCCATCAAGACTTTCATAGCTAGAGAAGTCTTCAAAGGACAGGCTGACTCTCTGGTTAGGAGCTAATGCAGCTGATGACTTCAGTTGAAGCCAGTGTACATTGACCATTCTGAAAATCCTAGGGCCCTTCAGAATGATGCAAAATCTACTCTATCCTCTATCAGTGGAACCACAAAGCCTGGATGACAGCACATCTGTTTACAGTATGGTTTACTGAATATTTGAAGCCCACTGTAAAGATCTGCTGCAGAGAAAAATGATTCCTGTCAAAATACTACTGCTCACCAACAATGCACCTGGTCGCCCAAGAGCTCTGATGGAGACCTGCAAGATGAATGTGGTCTTCATGCCTGCTGACACAACATCCATTCTACAGTCCATGGATCAAGGAATAATTTTGCCTTTCAAGTCTTATTCTTTAAGAAATACATTTTTGTAAGCCTACAGCTGCCATAGAGAGTGATTCCTCTGATGGATCTGGGCAAAGTCAATTGAAAACCTTCTGGAAAGGATTCACCATTATAAGATGCTGGTAAGAACATTCATGATTCATGGGAAGAAGTCAAATTATTCACATTCACAGGAGTTTGGAAGAAGTTGGTGTCCCCCCCCCCATCCCCGCCCCATGGAGGACTTGGAGGCGAGAGGTTCGGGATGTCAGTGGAGGCAGTAACTACAGATGTAGTGAAAACAGCAAGATAACTGGAAATCAAAGTGGGACCTGAAGATGGGACCACATTGCTGCCATCTCATGATCAAACTTGAACGGATGAGGAGCTGCTTCTCATGGATGAGCCAAGACAGTGGTTTCTTGAGATGGAAACTACTCTTGGTGGAGATGCCATGAAGACTATTGCAATGACCACAAAGGATTTAGAGTAGTACATCAACTTAGCTGATAAAGCAGCAGCAGGGGTTGAGAGGATTGACTCCAGTTTTGAAAGAAGTTCTACTTGTGGGTGAAATGCTATCAAACAGCCTTGCACACTACAGAGAAATATTTTGTGAAAGTCCATCGATGTAGCAAACTTCATTGTTGTTTTAAGAAATTGGCACAGACACCCCAGCCTTCAGCAACTTGACCCCCACCAGTCAGTAGCCACTGATAGTGAGCCAAGACCCTCCATCAGTAAAAAGATTTATGACTCGCTGAAATTTTGGATGGTGGTTTGCATTTTTCAGCAATAAAGCATTTTTAAATTAAGGTATGCACATTGCTTTTTTAGACATGATGGTATTTCACACTTAGTAAACTACAGGATAGTGTAAACCTAACTTTTATATGTACCGGGAAACCATTCATTTGGGAAAAATTCATGTGATTGCTTCATTGCGATACTTGCTTAACTGCGGCAGTCTGGAACTAAACCCAAGGTCTGCCTACGAGCTCCAGTTGGCTGATCAAGCCTAAACACTGCTTTACTCTACTCTGACAGCAGAAGGAGGGGGACCCCCACATCCTTCCTTGTAAGTTGGAGCACGTCAGAGCAGGGGATGGAGATGGGAACAGTGTTACTCAGAGGATCTGCATTCGACTACACAGCTTCACTGGATTGTTCACTCCCTGCCATCCCCTGGCCAGGGCCAGCTCTTCATGGCCTTGGGCAGGCTGACCCGGGATGACAGCTCAGCAGCTGAGGGCCCTATACAGGTCTGTGCTGTGAGCTAACGGAGCACAGGCTCAGCTCATGGGGTTTTTGTCTTTTGCCTGGGAATATCTATCTGGCACTCCTCCAAACCCCCCAGAAATAAAGCCCTCCATCTCCCAGCTGCACTGGAGACCTCTCCTGCACACATGAGCTAATTTCACTCATTTGTCCCCAAGTGGGGACCACTGATATGCAGAGCCAGGCACAGGCCGGGAGGTCCCAGTGGTGTGTTTTATTCTTATTTTCCTATGTGAAATGCCAAGAGCCTGTGTGGGGAAGCCTCACAGCACAGAGGAATAGATAAATTGGATGCTGGATAAGAACAGAGTCCCCAAAGAAACTCAAGAGCAAAGCCACTTTGTAGGTGACACCTGATTTGTTAGGCTCAGACACCCAGGCCCACCTACCTTGTGACAACGGTGTTCTGGTCAATCCTTGCTTTGAGGTCTTCATTTTGCTGCTGGAGAACTTGGATCTTTTCTTCTAGGATAATATTCTTTTCCGCCTACAAAGGACGCAGTGTTAAGAGGTTCTCAGCAAGGCCATGACAAATATAGAAGGCCAGTGCCCTTGGCTTCTGGGCTTTGGAAGATTATCAAGAACATTGCTTTGTGGGGTGCCTGGGTGGCTTGGTGGGTTGGGTGTCCAACTTTTGATTCTGGCTCAGGTCATGATCTCAAGGTCCTGGAGTGCACCCCACACGGGGCTCTGTGTTCCGTGTAGAGTCTTCTTGTCCCTCCCCTTCCCCCTCTGCCCTTCCCTCCATTCATGTGCACATATGCTCTCTCTCTCTCTCTCTCAAATAAATAAATAAAATCTTAAAAAAAAAAACAATAGTTCATTGCAAATTTCAATGGGTTGTAAAATCAAGTTAGATGTGAGTAGTATTTTTAAAAACAAAATAAAACAGAAAATACCAGAGTGCACTGTATGTAGTAAAAGTATTATTGTTATACATATTTTAGATATAAATATTTTTTACGTATATTATACAACGTGTGTGTATGTATATGTCCGGTTTCTGTGTAGAATACATTTCTTCCAGGGCATGCCCAGGCAGTCAAAGATGAGCTGTCAGAGATCAGTGAACACCCCTGGGTCCTAGTTTGGCTGATGGGTCCCCTGGTTCTCCCTGACGGTCAACTGAGCTGCATCAGCATCCCTGCCCGGCACGTATGCACAATAGGACATTCTGAATTAATGGAGGGATAGAAATACAAATAATGTGGACACATTTTTTCCTTCTGAGAGTATGACCAGCCAGGAAGCCGAAGCCTGAGATGGGCTTGGAACACGATCAGAAAATAACATTTTCCCCTGGTTGTTATTCCCCTACAATTTATGCTTTTCTCTCTGTGTGTCCCCTAGGGACTTGCAGAAGCACAGTTCCACTCTAAGATAAATTCAGAAATAAATTATTTTTTGAAGAGCAAATGACAAATTCACTATTGGGTCGTCAATCTTTGAAGGAAACTGTTGCCCTTCCACGAAGAGGGCTAGGAGTCAGAGCCAAAGGGCTGGACTCTGTCCCAGCTTTCCAGCAGGGCACTTCCCTACAGGCTTCATCTTTGCTCCCAGGAAATGGGAAGTGATTAAATTGGTTCTTTCTGTATGCCAGGAAAGGTTTCTGGAAGGAGAAAGCATGCAGGCCTGCAGAATGTCTGGAACATGGCTAAAAACATCTGAGTAAACCCTAAGACTTGTGGGTGATCAGACAGCTGAATGCGGATTGTCCGGCCTGGAGGAGGAGGATCGTCGGTCTCCATGTGGGCCAGGCAGTGTGGCAGGACTCTGATGCTGCTGGGAAGCTCTGGGCTGTTGGGAGGTACCAAATGGTCACCATTGCCTGGATGCTGGTTACTGACAGTCACACGGCAGGCTGCCCCTACCCCACCTGATAAGTACCTGTACAGTATGAGATGTCTGCAAGAAGTGGAGGTGCCAGATCCAGCAGGTAGGCCTAGATCAGCCCCTGGCTTAGGAAAACCAGCTTCGAGGGATATTTCAGAAAGAAGCAGGGGACTTTACAAGTTAGCCGAGATGATTAATTACTAAGACGGCAAGTTAAAGATCTGCTGGCTGGGCTGAACAGGAGGCAGAGGGCTGTGAGAGCCGGAACGTGGAGCACTGGGCCAGCACTCCTACCTGGGCCTAGCCACTTACTGGCTCTCCTTACGCCTCTGCCTAGGCCTCCGTGTGCATCTGCGACTATGAAAGGAGCCTCCCGACAGTACCTGCTCCAGGGGATGGCTGTCAGAGTTAAAGAACAAACACACATAAAGTGCTTTGCACCAAGCCTGGCACACCTCAGTGATACTCCTTTCATACTGGCTTACCACCTATCACCTGCAGGGAGGAGGAGGAAGGAGCACTCCCCCAGGAGAGGAGTGGCAGATGGAGAATGGAGGCGGGAATCAGGAGGGTTCCCCAGTTGTACAAAATGAGGCCACCTCAGATTCCTTATCAGAATTCCTGGCTTCCTAAGAAAGATCTCGAGACTCAGCCGTGGCATTTTCAGGTGTAGGCAGTGGACAGGGAAGGGTCCACCTTCTGAATGCTGTGAACAGCATCTTGATGACAGTAAGGCATATCATTCAGGTTCCTGGGGCTCTCCCAAGGACGCAGGCTGACTCACCAGTTTTTCCAGCTCAATGATCTTCTTTTCCTGCTGGTGTATTTGCTGATTTTTCATCTCTAATACCTGCTTCAGACTCTTCATGTCTTCTTCCAAGTGCTGATAGGGAGCCAATGCAATCTACAACAGCAGAGAACAAGAGCTATTTACCAGGGGTCCCAGCAAAGTCCAGGATCCACCAGTGCCATGAGTTCAGCTAAATCTAGCCTTCTGTAACAAGTTTCCCAGTAGGCATGGGGGCGTGAGTGTGAGCGCACTCACAGCCTTCTCTGATAAAGATACGCATTGGTTTCCCACTGGAAATGCTATAAGAAATCCAGCTCTCTGGGGAACAAGAGAGGTAAAGCCATCACCCACTGAAAAGTCTGGATGCTGGGGTGGCAGGATGCCACCAGCCCATCCCCAAAAGGGAGCTCATGGGGTAAAAAAGAGTAAATTCAACATTGGCTTTTAACATTGACCCAGACTACTTGGTTCAATAGACACCTTGAGATTTACAGGTCTCCCTTGTACCCAGGCAGAGCTGGGCAAGGGGTGGGGTAGAGGTGGGGTATATCCTTGTGTAGGAAATGAGCAAAGTGGTTTAAAAAGCAGAAAAGGCATTTTAGGAAAAGAAATGCTACAGTAAGGTTGCCAAATGTAACAACAGCAACAACAACAAAATATAGGACATTGAGTTAAGTATGAATTCCAGATAAAGCACCTTTTTTTTAAAGTATAAGTATTAGATGGGATACACTTACACTAAAAAATTCACTTATTTATAATTCAAATTTACCGGGGTGTCATGCATTTTATCTGGCAATCCTCCCTCAGAGGAAAGGAACTTTGCCAGCTTTTCTGGAAAACACTCCCCTCAACCTATTAAGACAGGCATGGGTGGTGACTCTTGCACCAGCCTACACCCAAGCAGGGGGAGAATGGAGGGGAGGGCGTGCGGGTCGCAGGGGTCAGGGGCCGTGGCTGGGGAGCCGTGGAATCTGGCAAGAACACATCAGTGGAGAACCCACAGCTGTCCTGTGTGTCAGGAGAGAGGTGCTGACAGGGACATGTCCTGGCCAGCTGTCACTGCGGCGGCGGGTCCACACAGCGGTCCCGTCTCTGGGGGAGACTGCTGAGGTGACTCCCGGGGTGAGGCCCTGTGGGAGCCTGGAGGCCTGGGGAGCATGACTACCTCCAGCTGCTCCGCGGTGTTCTTCCTCAGAGCCTCCTCAAAGCGCCTGGCGCGGTCCCGCAGAGACTGGCTCTGGAAGGTCAGCGTGTCCACCTGGTCCTGGAGGGAAGGACAAGAGGCCCAGCTCGGTGGCCTGCAGACACTGTGGCCCGGGAAGCTGGGAAGAGACCGCCGCCCACCCCGGCCGCTCTCCACAGGGCAGCGGGGGCTGCTGAGGTCGCCAGTCGCCCGCGCTCCACAGAGGGCCGCGCTGTGAGGCTCCGCAGGGAGTGCCCGCGCGGGGGGGGGGGGGGGAGCAGGGGGGGCTCCCAGCCGGAGGCCGCTAGCCTTCCTGGCCAGTCAGCTGGCTGGTGGGAGGCGATGCTGCAATGTCCCACCTCAGGGAGGCCGACTATGAGAAGGGGAGGCATCGAGTCCCTGACCTGACGAAGGACAGGACCCATTTCAGAGAAGTGTCCTGGTGTATAAACCATTGAACCATCCCTGACTCCCCTCTCTGCCTGAGACCCCTCCTGCGACCAGCAAACTCACTAATTTTGGGGTCAGTCATCAAGTCCTGCCAATTCCACCTGCCTAATGTCCCTGGCGTCCACGGGCTCCCTGGTCCCTGTCCCTCCAGCTAAAGCTGGGGCATGCTGCTGCTCCTTGCTGGACCTGACGCCGGGGTTCTAAGTCTTCTGCCCTCACGCTGGAGGCAGGGGGAGCTTTCTAAAGTGGAAACCGAACCCATCACCCCCACCATGTTAAACCCCATTGGCATGAAGATGAAGTGCCTACTTGACACAGTGTTGACATAGCTCCTGCTCAGCCCCTCTGGTCTCCCAGCTCAGTTCTCGCTGCTCCCCTCCCCCACCCCACCTTACATTCCAGCTCTCTCCCCTCCCTGCTCACTTCTGGCCTCCCCTCAGCCTTTCTGGGCCTCAGGGCTGGACTGCATGTCTCTGGCAGGAGCTGCCAAGTGAGCTGAGTCTTTTCTCCCATTTAGACTCTCTGCCCGGCTAGACCCCCAGCAGCTCTCTGTGTCTTCACTGACAAGAGGACGGTATGTCCAAGGAGGAACCATTTCTTGCTCCTTCCCTGGCTGCCAGGGCAGATGCAACTACACTCAACCTCCCTTGCAACCCCAGCAATGCCCGATCACTGCAGGTGAGCAAAGGATGCTGGGCAGGGGGCTTTCTCTTGATGCTCAAGCACAGTGAGAGATGATGCCTCATTCATGCAGAATATCCCAAAGGTCTCCATCCAATGACACCACTTCTGTGACATTAAAATGGAGGGACTAAGGTCTCCCCAAGAGCTCTTCTGGCCAAAGAAACAGCTTCATCCCCCTTGTATAAAGGGCTAGGTGTTGTAAATCATGTAATCCCACATAAAAACATTGTCATGTATGAAGTGCTGGCTTGCCTGCTTTCTCCATCTCATCAGAGGGCCTTGTTTTGCAAACCATCCTTGGCAGGTTCCTTTTCCTCTTTTTTTTTGTTTGTTTCCAGTTACTTCTAATTTTATTTTTAAACAACAACAACAAAAAGCCCCCCCTCCCCCACCGCCATACTGCCATGCCATTAAATCCAACTGCTGGTGCATTAGGGCATTACAGTTGTCAGTGGGAATTTGTATACACAGGAGCTGATGAATATAAATTCCAGCCCAGGGCAACACCAGCTGGGCCCCAGCACACGGTCACTCCATAGCTGCAGTCACCTTCTAGAACATGACTATAAAAATGACTATAAAAATGCTACACAGCTCCTACACCAAACTCCGTGCTCACAGAGGAAGCATTTCTTTCAGGTCTCTCCTCCTTCATTGAAAAGCAAAACCATGAAAGATGCATCAGGCAATGCCACCTGGGACAGATCTAAAATGTCAAACTGTGTTTTTATCTGCCTTATTCACCATTACTCAAAACAGATCCATAGGCAGACCAATGGTGCCACAGCCATCAGACCAAACAGACTGTTTTTCAATTTGAGTCAAACTAAGAGGCAGAAAGGCCCGGCTGGTGATGCAGCCCAGCATGGGCCACTCAAGGGTTAACCAATGACGTAGGAAACGTAACAATGTTAGAAACGATTTCATAGCAATAGCCACTCCTTACTAGCATCTACCATGAGCCAATCTAGTGCTAGGCCCTTAATCTGCTCACATCTAGAGGAAGGTATTGTTATCGCCCCTATTTTACAGATGAGTAAAGTAAGGTTTATAGAGCTTATGTAACTGTTCATGATTTCCAAGCTAAAAAGAGGAGGTATAGTGGGGAGTTAGAAACTCCAAGCTCACATCTCTTGCCCCAGATCTGTTACTCTAGCCACCAGGAGCTTAGAAGGTTTGGCCTAAGCAATGCCGTCCTCTTCATACCAAATACTCTCCAGCTCAAATAAACTCTTTCCATGGAGAGTTACAACTGAAATATATACAGTTCATGACAGTTTAATGTTAGCGGCAGAGTGAAGACTCATATGAAGCAAAACTCTCCCTTCTTTTGGTTTTGGACTGGACGCACACGAAGGCAGTTTGGGGTTAATGGGCCAAGGATAAGCCATGTGAGGACTGCACCAGCTTACTGCAGGACCATCCATGGATCAATGGATCAGGACAGTGGAGGGCTTGCAGCAGGCGGTTTCCCATTTTAAAACTTCTGAATAGTACATTCAACAGCTGTGACACTGGCTATCTCCACAATCCTGGATTCTTGTCTTAGTGGGCAGGCTCTGTACAATGAATACTGCCAGGGAAAGTACGCCAGCAAAGAAGGAAAATTCTCACCTTTGTATTACAGTTTTAATAAACACCTTCCACAACTTTCAGATGTGCGTGTTCCTAATATTTAACAAATAATCTTGTTATAACAGAGGCAGCCATAGTTGGGAATGGAAGCAGGGCCACCAACCTCACCCTTGCTTCCCAGGCAGCTCCAACCTAGGGCTGGGGGTGGCCTGGGTCTCTAGAAGGCGGGAGGGAGACACGGGTGATCTGGGAGACCTTTCATTCTCCCCGTGGAGGTCAGAAGGAAGCCAGGCAGCCCCCAGCCTCTGAGACCCATGTTTTCCGCAGGTTGGCAGTGGAAGACGAAGAAGGTTCTTTTCATCTTACCTACCTCCAGGTGATTAAAGCCCCTTTTATAATTCCCAGAACATATCCTATGACATTTGTCCTTTACAACCCCGTTACTCCCTGCCTACACTGTTCTCCTCCCCAAGTCCTCCCTTTTCTTCAGACACAACTCCTCTGACTATGGCAAGTAGGGGGCAGTGTCTCAGAACTCCTGTGGTGCTCACTGATGGTATTATTCATTGGGTGTAAGTATGTGTTACCTTTTGTGTTGTCTGTCACTGTTTAGGTCACAGCTGTCTGAGCAGACAGTAACTACCCAAAGGGCAAGGAGTATGTCTCATTTACCTCTATTTTCCAATGCTTAGTACAGGATCCAGTACACAGTAGGTGCTGGATGAAAGTCTGCAGACAGGCATAATGATGCTGCCATTATCTTGATACCAGAGTTAAGAGAATGCATATTAACCTGTAACGACAGCCGCAGCTTTTCAAAATTTTCTTCCAATTCTTTCTTTTCAAGTTCATGGGTAGACATCAATTCTGGAGATAAGAGATCAAATAGTTAAGTTGGTCTTTTGAAAAGGATCAAACAAGACTTTGTCAGATTTAGGATGTAGGTAAATAAGGGACACTGGTAGATAGAAGACTAAAGCCTACAGAGACTTCTCCATACTTTGAAATTATATGTAGTGCTCTTTAGAAGACAGTGAAAGAAAGAGAAAGGGAATAGGACAAAGAAGGAAAAAGAGGGAAAGAGGGGAAGAATGAGGGACGGAAGCAAACAGAACTACAATCATGTAGGGGCGCCTGGCTGGCTCAATTGGTTGAGTGTCCCTCTTGATTTCTGCTAGGGTCATGATCTCAGGTGAGATCGAGCTCTGTGTTGGGCTCTGTGCTGAGCATGGAGCCTGCTTAAGATTCTCTCTCTCCTTCTGCCTCATTCCCCACTCCCTCTCTCTCTCAAAAATAAAAATAAAAATAAAAATAAACCACAATTGTGCTCAGGAGCACATCACACACACATGCACATACACACACTCTCATTCTTACAACCTGCTCTACCATCACTCTGCCCTAGTTGGATTCTCCACAGTACCCATTATTCTCCAAGTTTTCCTCATGGTAGAGCAGCTGGATAAGCAATGTTAAATCATTCTCCTTTCCACCACGAAGCAGCAATCTGGATGCTGAAGAAGGTGGCCTTCCAAGGAGAGTGTCGCTGTGAGCGCCATCATGCCAGCCTGGGCTTGCTGGGGAATGGATGTATGAAAGGGGCCAGGGTTGTGTCTGCAAGAACACCTTGGTAGCCTCTTGGCCACACTCTGGAAACCACAGATGTCAAAGATTTGCTTGAGCAAAGATTCAATATTAAGACATTCAGACAGAAGGAAGGACTAATTGGACTGGTTCCTCTTGGAGCGTTTGGAACAATTCTATTCTGTGAAAAGTGTCATTCCAGTAATAATTTGCAAGTTAGGCAGAAAGAGATGTCATGTAAGAGTTATTAGTGAATGGATTCTATATTCCTCCAGATGGAAAGAGTCTTATTAGCTGGGTGAAGCACATCTCATTCTGGCTACACAAGCAATTTGTTTTCATGTTATAACCGCAGGGAGGAAGGGTCCCATTAATCAGCCGGGGTCACATGCTTAGAACAGGAGAGCACTGGAGGCCAGCAATTATCCTGGCTGGCATGAGCTGCAATTAGGAAAGACTTTGTGGTTTCCATTGACCCAAATCTTTTAAGTAATGATGGTGGAAGTCTCTAAGAAATCCAGTTGTTTGTAGCTGAAATTTACATTTGGGGGGAAAAATTGTGCAGATTTCAATGATATAAAGCCATGCAGGCTTCTGGTCTACCCAGCTCTGTGTACATGATTAGTTTTAATAGTCATTGAAAGCATCGTAATGCTGACCATGGTAATACATTTTTTACCTATCATTAAATACACCTACATTGTCTTGACATTTATATATAATTCAAGTGCCTTGGATGTGGTGTCTAAGTGAGATTTCATTCATCAGAAAAATCTACCAGGTCTATTTTTACGAAAATATAGAAACAAAAGGCAACACTATGGCTCATTGCACTATTTCCATTCAGATTCCCTTTCTTTTTTTTAATATATTTTTTTATTTTTTCAAATTCCCTTTTTAGAGACCATTTTCCTACAGTGCAGTGATGGACTTAGGACATTTTCAGAGGGCCACAAAAACCCAAGAGAAAAAGAAAAGTTAGAATCTATTCTGGAGATGGTATAAATCATTGCTAGTATCCATATACCCATAATGATTTTCTTTATTTTAAGGTCATAACACCTTGTCCCATGTTTAATACTGTGCTCAAAAACAATGGTTCTCAAATTTTGCTGCATGTTAGAATCACCTAGGGAGCTTTAAAAAAATTCTGATGCCTAGGCTGCACCCCAAAGCAATTAAAGTAGGATCTTTGCAATAGGATCTACACATAAGTATTTTTTAAAAATCCCCAGGTGGTTCCAGTATGCAGCCAAGGGTAGGAATTGGTACTCTAAGTGGGAGACATAGTCTTAGGACACAGGTAATACATTTAAGTAGTTCTCAGGGAAGTACTGTCCCTTGTCTCCAGCTTGGACTTTTCATGTACTAATAGGTTCCAGAGGTGATGGCGCTGGTGCTTGAGGAAAGCAAAACATGAGTATTGATTGTCACACAGTGGACTATATTGTTTACAAAGAAAATTTTAGAAATAATTTTAAAAACCTCTGAAGTTGGGGAACCTGGGTGGCATAGTCGGTTAAACATCTGACTCGTGATTTCAGCTCGGGTCATAGATCCCAGTGCCATGAGATAGATCCCCATGTCATGCCTTGTGCTCCGCATGGAGTCTGCTTGAGATTCTCTCTCCCTCCCCCTCTGCCTCCCACTCATGCTCTCTCTAAAATAAATACATCTTTTTAAAAAAACTTCTGATGGTATCTTTCAAATTATTAAAATTTATTAATCTATTAAATTTAATTGCTTTAAATACACTTTAACAACCAGTTAACTAGGGGAAAAAGTGAGGTGGGGAGAGAAATTGAAAACTAAAAGATATATACCAATGTAATGCATTTACATGTCAAAAGTGTAAAAAAGCTTTTTTCACAAGGTAAAAATCTTAGTAATAGTAAATGTTGTTACTTTTATTATGACCCACAAACAGCTCTATGTATTGAAAGATAATCCAAAGTTACAAAAATATGTAAAAAGAAAGATTTGGAGCTCCGCTTAGCCCACGGGGAATGTGCTGAGTATGAGGTGTGGAGACCCAGGTCCAATTGGATGCTGCTGTGGCCCTGAGCACACCACAGATGTGGGGAAAGTGCATCTACATGGGGGTCACCATTTATTTTAAAATGCTAGAAGACAAGGTAAATCCAGGATTTCCAGGCCTACTTTGGAGTAATGGTTCTCCAGCTTTGAGACCCATCAGAATGATCTCAGGAACTCTGAACAATTGTGATATGCAGAAGGAACCCCAGAGCAGCTACATGGGAATGCCACGTGGGATCTGGCCCCAATCCCCTGGCACAGCTCCCCGGCATTCTCATCTCTGGGCAAGTGTGAGGGTAAATGCTTCCGAGGGAAGGAGCAGTTACCTGGACGGATCCTGGATTTTTAGATCTTTCCATAGGAAGCAACAAAAAAGACACACCAGGAAGGAGAGGAAGGGAAAACAAGAAAAGGGCAAGAGAGGAAGGATGGCCGCAAAGGTTTGGCTCACACAGCCCACCCCGCATGGCCATACACATTGAGGCTGGTAGCTACCTTGGACTTTGTGGTGGTGGTCATCCTGCAGGATTGCGATGGCTACCGTGTGGTTATTTTCCATCTCTAGGAGAGTAGCCTCATGGCTGGCTGTGAGATCTTCTACCTGAAGGAGGCCACAGCTATGGTTACACACTGAGTGGGGGAATGGGTTGCAGTAGTGTCTTCATTGCTTGTAGAGCATGGGTGGAATTCAACCAGTAGAAAGGTCTGTGGCCCAAATGTCAAGGACAAGTCATTCTGCTGAGATCACAGCCATCTCGGCCTTGCACCAAGGCAGGAAAACCAGGATTTGGTGGTGATTGGCAGCCCCCGAGTCGGGGGGAGGTCACAGGGAAGTCACTGCCTCAGCCCCACTGTCAGTAGGAGAATGGCGGTTCCCCATGGGGGCCAGCTGCCTGAGCCACTTCTTCACTGCCCAGGGCCTGGCTTCTGGCAAGGTCCCCTTCCCACTCCCATTCTTTCCCCTGCACCAATCACTGAGACAATGGTGGATAAGGAAAAGAAGACGGCCCTCTACTGTACTGTCCGTTCTCTGATGCCCAGTAGCAGATGGGAGTATCAGTACACAAGATAAATGGAAGGAACTCACCTTTATTAAGCCACCTGCTATTGGTTCCTGTACTTAACTCTCACAGGAACATCACAAAGTACTTTATGCCCATTTTACAGACAAGGAGACCGAGGATCAAAGAGGTTTGAAATGTTTGGCAAGGGCTTGTAAATGGCAAAGCTGGCGGTTGGCCTAGGTCTGTCTAACTCTACAGGTGGAACTCTCTCAAACACACCATTGTTGTCTGTTGCAGTGAGATCGCAACCGATGCCTCAGGATGCTCTCACCAGCGCCAGGGCAGGTCGGCAGATCTGTGTGTGCTCGGACCACCTGCTTCAGCATAACCTTGACCTCCAGGTTGCAATTTGGACTTCCTGCCCAGGCAACATAGAGCTACTTGTGTTTCTCTGGCTGAAGGCACATTTTCAGAATGTAATCACAGGTAGTACAGCTAGTCCAGGATTTTGTCACCCTTCCTGGTCTCTGCAAACTGCCCCACCCCCCAATATGTTTCCTGTTTTTGTTATTGTTGTGGCTGCTGCTTCAACTTCAAATGTATTTGGGAGTAATTTCAAAAACCCACCTCTCCCCATCATAACCAACAAGAACAGTGTTTTTCCAAATTCTTTGTCAATGAACCATTGTTAAAAAATGCCACGGTACCTTGTGTTGTGTGTGGGCGCATGTGCACACACAGAACCCAGTTCCACAAAGCTACACTTTCCCTTCCTCCTTGCAATGATCTGGTTTTAAAATTTCATCTTACTTTGTTTTTCAAAATGCCAGTTACAAACCACTAAATTTATTTCATAACCTACTAGTGTGTCAAAATCTGGCATTTGAAAAACACTGAACCAGGAAATGGGCCCGGGTCCTGGAGCTCTTTGATGGACCAGGTAAAAACATTTGCTTCTAGCAGGTAATATTCAGCTGTCTCTTACTAGAGTCCCTCCCTTTTCTGAGGATAATTCACAGGCTGACTTTTGATTCAAAGGGAGGAATGGTTCTCCACAAGAGAGGAAGCCCACTTGTAAAGTGGATGCATCAGAGTATTTTTATTTTAAAATGGGATGGATTCCCATCCTGGATACTATAATTGCATAGGAGAATCTGTCTGTCTTATGGAAAATGAGAACTTCATACACTAAAAAAAGAAATATCACTGGCAAAACCAACAATGAGCTCCACAGTGGTAGGAAAGCTGCATGATAATATGCAAATGGACATGGTATGCAATGATTCACTTTTATTTACTGGTCATTCTTGATTAAACAGTATTTTATTTAAGGCTCAGAGCTATGAATGCACTCAGCAGAAAGGCTGATTACCACAGTATTTAATTGTCCAATTCCTGTTCATATGAGGTTTTTATGGCATCTTCATCCAGAGCCTGTTAGTCTCTTGGAAAAATAAATCACTGACTTTAAAAAAATGGCAATATATTTTCTTTCTGCTTTATTACTGATGTCATTTGAGCCCATAGCACGGTGTAGAAACAAGTGCCCACACATTATTTGGAGTTATGTTACCCAGTTCAGTTTAATAAAGAAAAATCTTTCATCAGTCCTCGGTATGATTCTAATTTATTGGGCTCTGACATAAATTGCCATGAGTGGTTTCAGGAAAGACAGATGAATGGAAGGGCTAGGTTCCAGAAGAGTCCTGCATGTTCCTGGAGGTGGTTGGCAATGCTATATTATGTTTGTGGCTAAATATATGCCCTTCTGGTTTGATGGAAGGTGGGTCTTTGACTTGGTAGTGATAAAATGCTGCCTCCAATATGTTAAGGGCGATGTACAGGCACGATTTATCTGTTACAGCCTCTCAGAGGTGCTTTTATGAATGAAATACTAAGTCCCTCACTCTGAAAGGCCATATGCCAAGAGTGGAATGCCCAGTATGTTTTGAAGGAAAGCAGTAAGAGCCAATGAATCCAAATTTGGGTACAATAATCCTTATTCTTCAGTAATTTCTATATGCCTTTGTGGTTTTTAAAGAATACATTGTTGGGTCTGTCCACTCTTGGCATCCTCTTTCTTGTCATGATATTAATCCCCGCAACACTTTCCATGGCTCCTGGCTTCCTTCTGGAGCATGGGCTCACACTCTGAAGCAGCCAGTAAGGGCTCTCCGCCTTCAGAAGGCATGTGAGGGGATTCAGATAAGTTGAGCTAGGAGAAACACAAGGTCATTTTATGCACAGATCACGCAAACAGAGGCAAAAGGCACTAAACTATATTAGGCCACGGCAGACTTATGCTGGGTGAAGAAGCATCCTTCTTCTCCTTTGAGAAGCCTGGGTAGGGCCCCCTTAAATCACTGTTGGCCCACTCTTGTCCCTCCTCCAGGCAGGGGGAGCTGTGGGCTGTGCCACAGAGGAGTCTATCAACTCATGGACTAGTCCTGGTCAAGCAGAGGCAGCTATTCCCTGTGGCAGGCTCCACTTCCATGGCTGCTTGCTGTTCAGCTGTGCTGAATTACAGCAGAGCAAAGCCTTGGAAAAACCACTCTCCGATGGGTAAGAAATACAGTAGTGGGGCCTCCCTCATTTAGCCATTTGCAAAATGCAGTTGTCTGAGGCTTTGGCAATTCACTTAGAGAAAGCTGACCTTTAGAACGAAAAAGCTTGAGCTTTGTATTGTCTTGGTTTCACTCATTAAACCCAAACCAAATTAAACTCCCATTTACCACCACTCCAGACACTGTATTCAGATCTGATAAGACAGAGGGAGCCCGCCCATGTTTACTCTCTCCAGGGCTCTCTTAATGTTCCTTTCTAGATAAGGAGGAGACCCCCCCCCCTTTCCCTTCCCTCCCTGGTACAATACCCTGGGCGATGATTCCGAGCAGGCAGCGAGCCATGCCAGAGTCCCCAGTCCAACTTCATCGAGTCCCCGGGGTGTGCCTCTGTCCCCTCCACAGCCCAGCACATGGCAGCTGTTCACAGAAAGCCCCATCTTCCCTGTACCGCCTCCCCCCAGCGTGTGGGGGCTCTGGTGCTGGAAGACTGCGGGCTCCTGGGGACCTCATTCTATTTGATTAGTGAGAGTGGAGTTTCTGCTGCTGGCGGCTGAATGCCTGCCACGTGGGACCAAAGAGGCCTAATGCAAGATGATGGACAAAGTGGCCTCTGTACATTCTGATTAAGCGTGGGGATTTTGAGACTGCCAGCTGGTCTAAAAGGATGATGTCTTCAGGAAAGTGTAGAAAGTATGTCCTGGATATGAGACAAAGCTGGTGGAAATTCCAAAGGACCAACACGGCTGCTCCTCGAGAAGGGCTCCGTTCAGACTTTATTGAGCGGAATCCACAAAGCATCTAGGAACCAGTGACTTCAGGGCCAGGTCAGGGAGTAAGACCAACTGCCAAAGCATCTTGGAGCACCTGGGTCAAAGGTCACAAGTCTGACCATTGAATATGAGGCTGTGTGGCTAGCTTTCCTTGGGGAACAGCCACGGCAGCCCAGAAGGGAGGGCTGCAAGCTGGACAGAGAAGGGACCAGGCTTGGGGCTAACAGGGAAAAGCATGTGTGTTTACAGTGCAAATCTGTCTTGTGTGCTTCAAGAAAGGGAATCTCTGGGAATCTGGCTTCTGGGACTGTGCAGCTAGCCATAGAATGAGAGCTGATTTTAATGAAACACCTTTTTAGTCATATTTCTCAAATAAAAGTCCTACTGTATCTTGGAGGTCACTGAGAGAAAGCCAAGGGGCAAGACCATGCCCCCTGGCTCATGCCCCTAACCACAGACTGCAGGACAGGGCCCTGACCATCCATGACACCTGCAGTACTGGGTCCTGGGGAACCAGTACAGACCACTGGTGCCAGGCCCCCAATCAGCAATTCTGATTTAATTCATGTGGGGGTATGGGGGTAAAGACTAGGAGGGGTGCTTTGTCAGAAGTTCTCCCAAGTGATTCCCATGTGTAGGCGGAGAGAGGTGTTTTTCCCTCCACATGAGCGTATGGCTAGATTTGTCCTCCGGGAGATCCTGCAGTGAACTCACAGGTCAGCCTGCCTTAGCAAGGAGTTCCCAAGTTGAGTAAAGCACCCCTTCCTGCCCCCAAATCTTGCACATCAAAACTGTTGCCACCTCTCCATTGCCAGCCATGGGGCAGGAAGATAAGCCAGACTGGTTAACTTGATTTTTAAGGCTCCAGGAGCACAGAAATGCTGCTATCTGTGGAGTTAGCATTGCCAAGTGCAATTGTCCCTGGTAATAAAGACCCATTGAGTGTGGAGATTACCCTGCATGAGTAACAGACACCACAGACCATCCAAATCTCCCTGGCGGTCATGCATTTGAGTTGTCTCCTGCACTAAACCAATGGGCATTTATTCTGTCTGGAAATTGGAATACTGGACTGATGTGCATTTCATCTTCTTCCCCTCTGCCTGCATGCTCTCTGCTGGAGAAGAGGATGGTCAGGATAGCAGCAGAATTGGGGACCCAAACAATTCATAGATTTGAATCACCACCTCCCCAAACCAATGGGTTTCCATAGGTAAGGCTTACCCACACATAAAGTCTTCAGAAGCTATTTTCATCATAAAGCTTTCCCTTTTCCTTATAGCTGGAAGTAATCTAAATTCCTAAACATGTTCTCTATACTTCTCACCCAGTATTACAGTTTCTTGGGTACTTGTCTCAGAATTTACCCTGATCTCTAACCCGAGGCAAGGACACAAGCAAGTCCACACATTATATATATTGGTATCTCTCCCAGCAGCCTGCCATAATGCCTTGTGTGCAGTGGCATTCGCTAAATATTCTTCACATAGATGAATAAATAAATGAATCACTAGCTATTATGAAGGATTGAGAAGAACAGAACTCAGAGCCTTCCTAAGACAGAGCATTTCTTAAATATACATGGGTGGTTTATTTAACTCACTCTCAAGTGGAAAGGTCAGGGCCTTCTTTCTTTCCAATCCCTCCCAGTATAAAATTTCTACAAGGCTGTGTCCCTGCTCAGAGTACAGGTGAGAGCACATCTCCCAGCACATGTGCCTGCACCAGCAAAGCTCAGTGAGACCCCAGGTTGTGCTCCACTAGTGGATGGGCTCCACTCTGCTTTGGCTTCAGCTCTCAGGTTTCCATACACTGAACCCTGACATGAGCCTTTGCTCAGAGGGCTCCCTTAAAGTACCTTCTCCTGCTGGTGACCATCTCCCTGCTTCTTGGCATCTCAACCAACCCAGAACTTCAGACCAGAAATCTGTTAGTGAATATGGGAGGGAAACACATTCTGTGAAAGACTGGGAATGAACGGCCCAGGGATACAGAGGCACAGAACAAACTAGTCCCTGCATGCCCTTGCAGCAAGCGCAAGTGTCTACTCATGGGAGCTCTGCTCTGCAAGCTTAGGAGGCGAGATGCTGGGGCTCAGTTTCTAATCTTAGCAGTAGCAGGTAACTCTAGCTGCCAGCTATTCTGTTTCCTGGTCTTGAGGTCTAAAGTACCTCAAGAAGGCAGGTGTGTCTGGTTTCTGCAGGCCTCTAGAAAAGGAGAACGCTGCCCCAAGAAGCTGAATAAAGTGCTGTCAAATGGGAGATTGTAAACGACAATAGTACTTATTATTGCTCTGAAATGACTCTTGTGCCTCCTGTGTTCCCAAACCTTTGGGGACTGCCATCCAGGACATTTCTCTGGAAGCAGTCTGAGGAGAGTAGCTCAAAAACTCATGATAATGAAGGGCCACTGGGCCCGTGCCTGAGAGTTTAAGAGCGCTCTTCCCAAATGCCAGTTTATTTTAGGGCTGTCACAAGTGGAGAACGTGAAATAACATACCTGTTAGAAGGTGGGCATTAGGGCATCAGAGCCTTAGGGGCTTCCAAAGAGGAGCGGAGACAGGAGCAAAGCTAGCTCTCACGGCAGCGGCAGCGCAGCTGGCCGGCTGTCTCCGTGCACAGGACAGGAGGGGCAGCCGGCTTGGGGGCAGCAGGGCCGGGGAACATCTCCAGTCATGCCAGGGTGCACTGCCCTCTACTAAGGCTGCTGGGCGGAGGTGAACCAGTGAAATTGCTTCCTCCTTCAGCAGATGCATGCCGAGAGCAGGCACGGTCAGGCACCAGGCACTCAGACCTGGCAGACCGTTCTAACTTCGTGCTGGGCAGCACAGACTCGAGCCAGACCGGGTTCCACCCTGGTTTTTCCATGCCCAGCTCTGTGAGTCCTGGCAGGTTATTTAACTTCTGGGTCTTGGTTTTCTTACCCATAAGATGGGGGCAATAACGATACTCACCTCGTAGGGCTGTTGAGAAGATTAGACGAGTTAGTATATGTAGAGAGTTAAGAGCAGTCCCCGGTGCATCACAAGTGCTAGGAGCGTTTGCTTATTAGCATCACTGCCCTTGTGGGGTTTGCAGATGATCAACAGGGGACCCGAGCAGAATTTGTAGTTTGTTCAACAGTGATAAGTGACTAGAGCAGGGAGGGGACAGGAAGAGTGTATGTGGTGGGGGAGGGGTTGTAATTTTAGATAAAGAAAGGCTTCACTGAGAAAGTGACTTTGGAGAAAAGTCTGGATGAGAGGGAAAGAAGGAGCCATGGGATGTCTAGAGGGAGAGCATTCCAGGCAGAGGGCACAGCAAATGCAAAAGTCCCCAGGTGGCAGCGTGCCTGGGAAGAAGTGAGAGGGAGGCCAGGGTGGCTGGGGGGTGGGGGTGGGGACGAAGAGAGGGGACAGCAGGAAGAAATGAGGTCGGAGAGTGAACTTTACAGAAGCTCACCTACGTAGCGGGGCTTCTTGCTAAAGCAGCGCCGGCTCCCCTCCACCTTGCACCTGTGTGTCCCAACAGCAGACACAGAGCCCAGAGCCGGAGACTGACCTGCTCCTGGTGCTGACACCTGATCCGCAGCAGCTGGGCGTGATGCTCCTCCTGCAGGCGCACCATCTCGGCCTCAAACTGCAGCTGCAGCCTCTCCTCCAGGTCCTGGAGCTCCGCCTGCTGCTGCCAGGCCAGCTTCCGCACCTCCTCCTCAAACCGCCTCTCCACGTCCTCCTTCTCCTTTTGTAGTTTCTCACACTTGGCCGTATTGAAGGCTGGAGGGGAGGGGGAGAATAACATCTCTGTAAAAGCTGGTTATGAGGCACTGAAAGCTTTGAACCCGAGTGTCTTTAATCCCCACCGGTAGTTCACCGAGGTTAATGTGATACCAGGGCAAGATTCTCTTACTCTTACTTCTGTGGAGCTTCGCAGTTTGCAAAGCGCTTTGCTTTCTACAGCATTCGATCCTTACAACAGACCCTGGGTGTTGAGGTTGAACCTGAGCCCCAGGGAGCGCCCGTGACTTGGCCAAGGTCCTTCGGTGCACGGAGAAAGCTATGAAGGCAAATATGGGCTTTCCGACCGCAAGCCCTGTGTTCCTATACCAGGACAGGGTTTCTCAGAGTCCACGGGCCACAGCCATCAAAATATTGGACATTTGTGAAACATGCATGATCTTAGGGACACCTTGAATGGGTTAGAGGCCCTGGGGCAGGAACTCAGGATGTACTTTTCACAAGTCCACAGTGATGGGCACCCGGATGGCTCAGTCAGTTAAGTGCCTGCCTTCAGCTCAGGTCAGGTCCCAGCATCCTGGGATCAGCAGGGAGTCAGCTTCTCCCTTCCCCGCTCCCTACTGCTCCCTCTGCTCCTATGTGCTCTCTCTCTAAAATAAATGAAATCTTGAAGAAGAAGAAGAAGAAGAAGAAGAAGAAGAAGAAGAAGCAGAAGCAGCAGCAGCAAGTTCCACAGTGACTCCTATGCCCATCAAGGTTTGGGACCTGGGCGTACCTGGAGGCTGGAGACAGGATGGGAAGGGGTGGGGATGGGCGTGAGGGAGGGAGGGCAAGGACACTGAAGGTTGTTCCCTCGGGGCTGAAACTATCTTCAGAGAAAGTGCAGGGGTGATGGAACTTCACTAACAACCATTCTTGTCCACCAGAAGGGCTGACCACTCAATCCCCCTTTGCCACAGGCGTGCCACCTTCACAGCACTGGTGTGTTTCCTGTGGCCCCGGCAGGGGATGGGGGCCATGGCACAGCCTGCTGCCCCCGCTGCTGCTCCGCTTAGCATTTATGCCTCCCTTGGGCTGCAGGTGGGAGTGATGCTTCCATTTTAAAGATCGCTGCCTCCACGGCAAACTGCCCTAAGAAGGAGAAGAACACCTTGACAACGGACTATGTTTAGGTCAAGGGGATTGCGTATACCCGGCACACATGCAGAAAGGGGCACCCACACACCATGTCCATTCCACAAAGACTGGGTGCCACTGTGCCCTCCGCTCTGCGCCACAAGCCGGGGACACATTGTCATGTGCTTTATACTTGAGTGAGCAGGTACAGGTGCTGATTAAGTGAGATCCACACCTTAGCAGGGGGTTGGCCATGATCAGAAATACACACCCAAGGTAAGTTAGACGGCATCTGAAACACCCTGTAACCAGAAGTCCCACCTGAAACAGGCAGCTAATTTGGGGGCTTCTTTGTCACATTCAGCTGTAAAAAAAAGTTCTGTAATTAGCAGCGGAATGTTTAAGAACATCTTTCCCCTGGTAAAATGAGTGGTGGACTGGCTGGATACCACACAGGCACACCGCCCTGCGTGAGGAGTGTGTAAGAATCCGGCCAGCCCAGCAGCCTCATAGCGACCCCGGTGGCCTTCCTGTTCCAGGGCTTTAACTTTCCCGTGTCCCCACTATCTGATGGAGGATTCTGATGCCCAATCTGGGGAAGCTGTTTGCAGGATCTGCCCAGGTAATCAGGGTGTGCACCTGGTGGGACGGTGGGCGCTGTCCTCTCCAGGTGCGGGCAATAAGAGGATGTACCGTCTTAGAGAATTTATTATTATTGTTTTTAAAAGCAACAACCTTTGAAAGCCTTCTGCTTTTTACTGTTACCTTGTACTAGCAACTCTGAAAAATGTTAGTGAAAAATAATCCTCCTCCAAAAAGTCTTTTGTTGGCCTAAGTTCTAGGCAATTGTGACAATTACTGTTGAGGTTTTAACACGTAATTTTTGTATTTAAAAAAAAATCACAGGTAAAACTTGGAAGCACAGTACAAATTACTGTACGAATGACATTTTCCTCCTGAACCATTTGAGAATAAGACGTTGACCTGTTGTCCCACTAACCCTGAATTCCTTAGTGTATATTCCCTACAAACAAGGACATTCTCCTACATAACCACAATATTAAAATCAGGACATCAACACTGATCCAATAGTGCCACCCAATGCTCAGACCCATTTAAATCTCACCAACTGGTCCAGTAATATCCTTTCTAGAAAAAGGGCCCCGTTCTGAATCACGAGTTGCATTTAGCTCTATAGTCTCCTTACTCTCCCTCAGCCTGGGACAGTCCTTGGTCTATTCTTGACTTTCGGACATTGACACTTTTAAAGATGAAAGGCCAGTTATTTTGTACAATGTCTCTCAATCTGGTTTGTCTGGTGATTTCTCGTTACTAAATTCAGGTCACGCGTGTTTGCAGAAATATCACAGAAGCGGCACAGCACTCTCATTTGAATATTAATGAATAAAAATGAAATTTCTTTTTAAATTGTTTACGTAGTGAGTCAGGAACATAATGCTTATTACTGATTATCTCAAGATTATACGGGAAGTGATTTCTTGGTACAGAGGAGGCAGTACTACAAATGGTCCATCTAGGGTGTCCGATGTGCCAGATATACCCTTAAATATTGTCACATCTGCTGTGAGTAAATCTTTTAGGTGAGGCTTACCTAAGGGACAGATTGCTGGGGGTGGATTGGGCTGACCACCACAGGTAGGAAGATGGCTTTTGCTTGCTTGCTAGCACTCAGTCTGAAGCTTTCTGGTGCCTGGTAGTGAGGTTGTGGTGGGAAAGATTGAGTCCTCTCTTACCTCTGGTCACTGGAGGCCACAGTTCCTATAAAAAAGACCTCATGGTACCTAATGGCCAAAGGGGTTAGGCCTGGTAGCAGCAGTGGGGAAACGCTTGCTCCCAGAAGTTCTGGCTCACTGGCTTTAGCATAGCTCTGGCTTTTCCCAAAGACCCTGCAGCCAGGGAAAGTTATTAGGGGTTTTACCAGGGGATTTAGCTGGTGAGGAAAGCTATTAGGATCCATAAGCCAGGTAAGAGGTATGTTTATAAAGACAGGTTTATCCTGGGGTGACTGGATTACATTTAATTTTTAAAAGATTTTATTTATTTATTTGAGAGAGAACGAGCACAAGTGGAGGGGAGGGGCAGAGGGAGAGGGAGGGGGAGAAGCAGACTCCTCACTCAGCAGGAAGCCTGACGCAGGGGCTCGATCCCAGCACCCAGGGATCATGACCTGAGCCAAAGGTAGAAGTGGCTGAGCCACCCAGGTGCCCCCTGGTGTGACTGGATTTTAATAGCACAGAACAGAGACCATGGGATGTCCATTTAAAAAATAGTGGGTGATGGATTGAGACAAAGCGAGGCAAACAGAGGGGGCCTGGGTGGCTCAGTTGGTTCAGCAACCGGCTCTTGATTTTGGGCAAGGTCATGATCTCAGGGTTGTGAGATTGAGTCCCACATCATGCTCATCATGCTCATCATGCTCTGTGCTCAGCCCAGGGTCTGCTTGAGTTTCTCTCCCTCTGCCCCTCCTTCGCCTTGTGCACTCTCTCTCTAAAATAAATACATGAATGAATCTTTTTAAAAGATTGAGGCAAAATAGAAGAGCAATGATTTTACCCACAGGAAGAAGGACAGGAGTCACCCTACAGAAACAACTTGGGCACCACTAGCTGATGGGGATATACAGGTAATGAGCCTCAGCCAGGTTACTGGGTGCTTGAGGCCTCTTCGGAGGATGTTTTTGTTTCTGAAATTTGGGCAGGCTAACTTGATAGTGGTCTTTGCCCCATGTATCCTGCACCAGTGGATGGGGTCAAAGCAGTGACAATATATTTATTTTTCTTTAAAGTGGGTCTATAAAGCAGTGCACAGACAGGTGACACAAAGGGCCAAAAAATCGTGATGCTCAGCACCATTCATGATTAAGTAACATGCACACCGAAGTAAGAAACAGATTTTCATCTATAAGGCTGATAAAGATCAAATAGTCTGATTACACAGGAAAGGTATGAGGAAAGTGGCATCTGATGGACCATTCACTGGACTATGATAGATAAGCTGCTTTGGAAGGCAAGAATATCTTTCAACATTGACATGAGAAGGATGGGAGCATTTAGGGCAACAGCAAAAGAGCCTGGGTTTTTTTTTAAGGGGGGTGAGGAAAATGTTCTAAATTGATTGTGGTGACAGTTGCACAGCTCTGGATATACTAAAAACCACTGAATTGAAATTTTAAATGATGAACTGTAAGGTATGTGAATTCTATCTCAATAAAATTTTGACAAAAAAAGGAAACTTACAAAAAAAAAACATTACACGCAAAATGCCTCAGAGGATAAATGTAGGTGTTTTTTTTTAGAAGGAAAGGTCATACTCTGATTTGAAAACTCTGTATAACAATGATGAGGATATATGCTAGTAAAATAAAACAGAAATGCAAAGCCCACACTACGCTGTCTTACACGCACACACACACACTGATATACGTGGAATATGACAGGGTGTAACCATTCTTACTGCCTCTTGCCTAGAGGTAGATGGAGTATAAAAAGCTCAAATGAAAATAATAAAGCATGCTAATCATGTATTTAAGTTTTGATACATGCTATTTTGTATGGGGAGATTTTTATTTATTATATAGTCTTATCAGTGTCGTTAGTTCCAGAAAATCAAGGAAGTAAGTTGACTCTACAGAGCATGTAGATGGAATGAAACAGGTAAAAAGGTAAAGAAACGAATGGAAACAACTCAGTTACAATGGACAAAAAAATGACATGATGCATGTCTTTGAGCCAATAATTTCACAAGCACACAAAGTGGATCTCAGGCGACTACTACAGCATGATTTACCGTGAAAAAGTAGTGTCGGCTAGCTAAATAAATGATAAATCCAATATACATACAGGACAAGTCCTATATACATTGCAGTATAGGTAATCAGTAAAAAATAAGGAAAACCTTTTTGT